TACCAGCTGTGCAACCTTTGGCAAAGTATTAGCCTCTCTGAGCTTCTCATTTATACAGTCAGGATAATGAGCTCCAAACACTGAGCCATGGTAAGAATTGAATAAGGTGGAATAAATGAACTTTCTATAGTAGATATGTGAAATATTGCTGTACTCGTCACTGGGCACCAAAACAAAAAGCCTCTTCATCTCAAGATTCAGAGGGAAAACAAACCACTGCCTGATCATGGTGATCACTGGGGTCAAGACACCTGCAGCCCCAGTGAGGCTGGGGTAGTGGGACAGGCACTTGTAGCCTCCCAAGGAATGACCTCCAGTCCCTGGTGGCGGGCTGTCTTCTGCTGGTCATAGTTCCCAGTGCCAGCCCTCTGGCCTCTGGTGGCCTTGGAGGCAGTGGAGAGTTGGTGGCAAGATAAGGGACCCAGCAGAGTGAAGGCCAGCACAGAGGAAAGGGTGCCCAGACCAGCCATGGCTGCCGCCTTTTCAAGGCTAGTGGCTCCAGTGGCACCTACTGAAAAGACTCAGTGACAGGTTGGGAGCTTGGAGGCAGTGGGGACCTTCCAGTGACCCAGAGAGGCAGTGACAGGTGTGACGGCCACACAGCCCCTCCAGATTCCAGGAGAAGAGGCCACTGGAGAAGAGCAGAGAGGGTGGTGTGGCGGGGAAAGAAGGGCTGGGAAGCAAGAGGCCAGCACGAGGGAGGGCCTTCTCCTCAGTGCCCTGTGAGACCGAGGAGTGGGGATGCTTCTGACAAGCCCTGGATGTGGATAGAGGAAACACAAGGACGAAGGTTCACGGAGACACAGCCTCCTCTCAAGGCCAGGGCTTGAGGCTGGGAGCTGCTCCTCTCTTAAGGGTATGGAGCCAACTCTGTCCGCATAAAACCATGGCTTCCCTGAGCTGGAAGGGATTTTAATCCAGTCTCCCAGCTGATAGAGACACTTCTCTAAACACATCCCAGACCCGTCATTATCGAGCCTCCAACTGAATGCCTCTGGTTACCAGAACTCCCTTCCTTCCTCCAAAGGCATTTGGCGATTAGGAAGCTCCCTCTTCTGGAGCTGGAACTGCTCTTCTTGCAGGGCTTACTCATTGACCCTTGCTCTACTTCTTTGGCATTTGTACAAGAAGTATGATCCCTCTTCCATGCTACAGCAGGGCGGCTCTGAGCAAACCTCCCGCTTCCTGGGGACAGGAAGTACTCCCCCATAAGCAGGGCTACACAGGTCTTCTCTGCAAATTCAGTGTAGCCCAGGCTGAATGTTTCCTCCTACAATCTGAGTCTAGGATCACCACTCTCCTGGGATCAGGCCCTCTAGCATCAGGACACCCTAACCCTAAGCAGAGGAGTCTCCGTCCTCAGGACAGCAGACCCCATGCTCCTTTCTGGATGAATCACTCTTCCAGCCTGCCGCAGAATGCAGACACCTTTCATGGTATGATGCCAGCCAAGGGCATCGCCATGATGCCTGGAGACCCTCTGCTGCCCTGCAACCCCTCCACAGCTTGAAAGAGCTGGCACGGCTGCTAATGAAAAACTGACCTCCTGCATTGCACCAGGAGGCAGTAAATTTTATGAGTCTGCGTGAGTGGAGAGAGGCAGCTGTGGGGGCTGATTTCCACTTCCTGACACAATACAAATGTCTTAGTTTATGTAGAACTAATTAAAGATCTCTCAGGTCTTGCCATTTCATTCACCAGGCACCCATAAAGCCCTGTGGTGATGGCAGCCGCCTGACTGCAGCGTGCGAGGAATGTGTTTCGCCAGGAGTCATTCTTCCTTCCCAACCTTCCTCCCCCTCCTGCTGCTGCCTTTCCTTCCTGCCTCTTTTCTCCTCCTGGAAGGCTCTAGTGGCTTCCCAGACAGGGTCTGGAGGGCAGGGATGGGGTCCTTACAGCAGGTGGTACCATGGGAAGCAGCCAGACCTGGAATTGAACTCCTGCTCTGCCACTTATGAGCCAGGAGACTTTGGGCAAGCTCCAGTGCTGTGGTTTGAATGTGTCCCCCATAGCTCTTGTGCTGGAAACTTAATCCCCAGTGAAACAGTGTTGAGAGGTGGGACCTTTAAGAAGTGATTAGGTTATGACAGTTCTGCCCTCATGAATACACATTCCTGTTGCTGTCATGGGAGTGGGTTATTTATCGTGGGAGTGGGATAGTTGTCATGAGTTAGTTATTGTGGACATGAATTAGTTATTGCAAGAGTGGGTTAGTTATTGTGGGACTGGGTTAGTTATTGTGGGAGTGAAATAGTTATTGTGGGAGTGAATTAGTTATTGTGGGAAGGAGTTAGTTATTGTGGGAGTGAATTAGTTATTATGGGAATGAGTTAGTTATTGTGGGAGTGAATTAGTTATTGTGGGAATGAGTTAGTTATTGTGGGAGTGAATTATTTTGGGGGTGAATTAGTTATTGTGGGAGTGAATTAGTTATTGTGAGAATTAGTTTGCTATTGTGAGAGTGGGTTGGTTATTGTGGGAGTGAGTTAATTATTGTGGGAGAAGATTTGTTATCATGGGAATGTGTTTGTGATTGCAAGACTAGGTTAGTTATTGTGGGAGTGGGTTCGTTATCATGGGAGTGGGTTTGTGATTGCTGGAGTGGGATAGTTATCATAATAGTGGTTTAGTTATTGTGGGAGTGGGTTAGTTATGGGAATGGGTTATCATGGGAGTGGGTTATTGTGAGAGTGGGTTAGTTATTGTGGGAGTGAGTTAGTTATTCTGGGAGTGGGTTAGTTATTGTGAGAGTGGGTTAGTTATCATGGAAGTGGGTTAGTTATCATGGGAGTGGGTTAGTTATCATGGAAGTGGTTAGTTATTGTGGGAGTGGGTTAGTTATCATGGGAGTGAGTTAGTTATCATGGGAGTGGGTTAGTTATTATGGAAGTGGGTTAGTTATGGAAGTGGCTTAGTTATTGTGGGAGTGGGTTATTGTGGGAGTGAGTTAGTTACCATGGGAATGGGTTAGTTATTGCAGAAGTGGGTTAGTTATTGTGGAAGTGGGTTACTTATCATGGGAGTGGGTTAGTTATCATGGGAGTGGGTTAGTTATTGTGAGAGTGGGTTAGTTATTGTGGGAGTGAGATAGTTATCCTGGGAGTGGGTTAGTTATTATGGGAGTGGGTTGGTTATCATGGAAGTGGGTTAGTTATCATGGAAGTGGGTTAGTTATCATTGAAGTGGGTTAGTTATTGTGGGAGTGGGTTATTGTGGGAGTGAGTTAGTTATCATGGGAGTGGCTTAGTTATTATGGAAGTGGGTTAGTTATCATGGAAGTGGGTTAGTTATTGTGCATTAGTTATTAGGTTTGTGGTTGCGAGAGTGGGTTTGTTATAAAAGTGAGCCTGGGTTTCTCTTGCTCATGTTTTCTTGTCCTCTCCTGCCCTTCCACTGTCTACCATGGGATGACACAACAAGAAGGTCCTCACCAGATGTGGGCCCCTTGACCTTGGGCTTCCCAGCCTCCACAGCAGTAAGAAATCAGTTTCTTTTCTTTATAAATTACCCAGTCTGTGGTGTTGTGTTATAGCAACATGCAATGGACTAAGATACACGGTTTTCTGATTTGTTAAATAGGAGAATAGTCATACCAGCCTCATAGAGTGGTTTTAGTGCTAAAAATAATGCAGGTTGTGTTGAAAGACTGCCTGGACCGCAGCACATGTTAAGTAGTGACTATCATAAAATTATTATTGCTATTACATTTATTGTAATGACTGCCTCTGGGTCTTTGCTCAAATTGTTTACCTATCTAAAATATTGTTTGCTTTCAGATTTGCTGGTTGAAGGCTCACAGTGGGAGATTAAAAGTAGCCACAAGGCTGGGCACGGTGGCTCACGCCTGTAATTCCAGCACTTTGGGGGGGCTGAGGCAGGCAGATCACGAGGTCAAGAGATTGAGACCATCTTGGCCAACATGGTGTAATCCCATCTCTACTAAAAATACAAAAACTAGCTGGGTGTGGTGGCCCGTGCCTGTATTCCCAGCTACTCAGGAGGCTGAGGCAGGAAAATCACTTGAACCCAGGAGATAGGGTTTGCAGTGAGCCCAGATTGTGCCACTGCACTCCAGCCTGGAGACAGAGCGAAACTTCGTCTTAAAAAAAAAAAAAAAAAAGACCACAAATCCTTTCTACTCCTCCAATGAAGTAGAGCCTAAGACTCTTCCCACACTGATGCACATGACTTGGTCATGTGACTTGCTTCAACCAATAAGACATTAGGAAATGTGATGCCGGTAGATCCCTGAAAAGTCCTTATGCACTGGGACCTGCCCATTTTGAATGCTGCCCTGGACCTGCTGTGCCATAAGGAAGTCTGTCTAGCTTCCTGGAGGATAAAGAGGCCATGTGGAGAACAGGGGACCCCAGCCCACAGCCAGCATCGGCCACCAGACATGTGAATGGGGCCATCTTGCCCTCTCCCACACTTCCATCTGTCATTTGGTGTGACTGCATCAGTGAAGCCAGGTGAGATTAGCAGAATTCCCAGATTGTCAATCCACAGAATTGTAGGAGAGAGGCAGTAAACTTGGAATAGTTTGTTACACAGCAATAGATAACTGATACATTCACCCATTCATCAAGGTTGGTTCCTCACCTGTCTTGTCCCAGAATATTTCCTAGACTTCTCTCAACCTGAAATTTGTCTCTCCACCTCCTGTAATCACGCGGTACCTTGTGATGGTAGCACTTAATAAAGTCTGCCTTCACTGGGGTTATTTGGCCCACTGGCAGGAATGCTTCTGACTCTGGCCTGTGAGAGCTGGACCCCTCCACGTCCTACATCCTTGCTCAGCACAGAACTCTGCCTAGGTGGGTCCCAGTAGTCTGGCTCCTACTTATCAGGAGCTTGGGGCGCCAGCGAGACCCTGGCCTGCCTCAGTACAGGCACAGCCACCTAGGTTGACAGGGAGAGACCCTCTTGGGTCTGAGGTCCAGTAGGCCATGGATTTGTCCAAAGTCCTGCCCCACTTGGGTCCTCCCCCTCTGGCTTACCTTCCGGCCGTGGTAGCCCTGGATCCCTGGATCTCCCTGAGGAAACAAAGAGAAGGCCATAAGAGCTTTTTATTTCCCTGCCAAACTTTGACTTGTGCTGTTCCCTACACAATGCTAACCCTCTTCCTCTCAATGACTCCGAGTCCCACTGCCCCTTCAACACCCATCTCCAGCCTTCCCAGGAGCAACAGCTCTTAGCTTCCTCTGAGGCCAACACAGAGTGTTCTACTCTTGAGAACAAACTCCACTTTGCAGAGGCTGAGGAATGGTGGGAAGGCTCACTTGGGTAGGGTTCCAGGAGACCTGACTGTTGAACATGGATGGACAAGTCTCTTTCCCCCAGGGCTCTTAGCTTCTGCATTCATAAAATAGTTGGGCACAATCAGTGCTTGGCATATTCTTGTCCCCAGAGCCCCAGGGTCCCCAGCTTCAAAGGGAGAGGCTGTTTGACACTGTGGGCTTCTGGGTAAGGGTTCACAGGAGACTGGATGACCCTAGAGGTCTCTTCCCATTCTGACACCTTACAAAATACTGTTTTATTGGGATATTGTGATGGTGTTCTGGGCATGAGCTTACAGTTTCCAGCTAGATTCTATGCTCCTTGGAGGATGGACCGTGCCTTCAATGCTAGCCCGTAGCACCTGCTTCATTGGCCTGAGCATGCAAGAAGTGCAATTCTTATTGGAACCAAATTAGTTCCTAAGAGAAGGGTGGTGTTTTGGAACTGGGTCAAGCTTGATCCATCTCTCAGCTGAGACTCCTCTCCTCTCCTGCCTCAGTCACCTTCTGTGCTGCCTCCCCTTCCCTCCTGCAAGGAATTCTCCCACGTGTTCAATGCATCACCAAGAAGGACACTCACCTTTGGTCCAGGAGGCCCAGGTAAGCCCTGTGGAAACAAACAAAAAGGTGAGTGGAACTGGTTTCCACTGGTAAATGGTTAGGGCTAGCCATACTTACAGTGGACCCCGGGGGCAGAGTAGCCCTCAATAGCTATGGCGAAAGAATGGGCATGCTACCCAACAGCTCTAGGGAATCTCAGAAGGGGATCTGAAACCTGCTGAGGGTACGTGGGGATAACAGGCGTATGTCACTCTTTGCAGTCATGTGGGCGCCACGGACAACTCTGCTGTTGCGCCCATGGAAAGTAGGTCAGCAGCATCATGCTGAATTGAGTGTGGTTTGGTCCAGATCTTCACTCACCCACCTCCTAATTGGAACCCTCCCTAGAAAGCCAGCCTTGCCCAGCAGAGCCTTGGTTTTGCCCTTGGTCCTGCCTCCTGGCAGAGGGGCCCTCTGTCTCCTTCGGCCCAGGGTACTGTGGGCATGGCAGCTGGCCACAGTGAGGTGGTGTGAGCTGGGGGAGAGGCCAGGGAAGGCTGGCTCCACCGCAGCCTTGGGTGTAGATGTGGACAGCAAGCGTGGGCTGGAGAAAGCCTTGATGCCTGAGTGGTCTGTTGCAATTGGTTTAAAAAGCATACTCTCTGGTTTTATTTTTCCTTTGGTTGTTGTCGTTATAAACAACCCAACAAAGAAAACCACCTGGCGTGGGTTCAGTAAGCGAGAACCCAATGTGTTGGGAGGGGTGGGGTGGAAAGGGCAGCGGTCAGCAGAAAGTGAATTTTGAGCACTTTTTCGTTTTCTTGGCTTAGTTTGGTTGAATTTCCAATTTTAGTATATGTGCTGCCGAAGCGAGCACTAGTTTGGTTGAATTTCCTAAGTTTCCCTTTCTTTCAGGTTTTCCAATCTAAAAACTGGTGGAAATAAGATAAATCCCCCTCTCTGGGGTACTGGGGAGAAATTGGGGAAAAATTTAAAATTCACTGCAGGGGTCAAACAAGGCAGGGGTCACCATGCTGGCCTTCCCAGCCAAGGTGGGTGTCCGGTTGGGACATGGCTGTTGCCCAGCCCAGGGAGCCCCTATAACAAGCTTCAAGGTTGAAAGCTGGGCAGCCAAGGGGCCCAGACATGCAACCAGGCCATCTAGAATGCGGCCGCATACACAGAGGACTGTTTGTTGGGGACATTCTGGCCTAGTGATTCCACCTCTGGGACTCTGTTCCAGCAAAACTATCAGAGATGCAAATAAACATTGTTTCTTTGTCTATGTTCCATTATTTTCACAATGAATTTATGGCGCTTTTGTCGTAAGGAAAAACAGGCTTCGATTTGGTTTTTCTACCATGTGGGAAAAAGGTGATTAAAAAGGCCTTTTGCCCTTTACCTGCCTCTCCAATATCATTAGTCCTATGGGTGGGTGGAAGCACTGTTTTCTCTGAAGTCTGGATCCCCACCGAGTTATTTTGTCTTGGGGCTTTGTTGTATTAAATTGGGCTGGGAAAGAGTGGAGTCTTAGCCAGGGCTTGAACATGGGTGACTTGGTGACCACCGGGCTTGACCTGTCACTTGAATGTGGTCCAGTCTGGAGGGGTGCCAGTTGGCCTCTCTGGAGCCCTCCAGGCAGAGGCCCCGCAGGCCCCGCAGGCTTGACACATCCTCAGGCTTGGCATGGGGCTCTCAGCTGACTGGACCTTCAGCTCAGCTGGCAGGTGGCCCAGCAGTGTGAAACCCACACACACCCCTGGAAGGCCTGATCATTGGGGTGCCAGGTAGTTGGCTGAACCCTCATTACCTCCTTCAAAATCCACTGCCCCTGACTCAGGTTTTCCTAAGGGGCTCAGGGATAGCCATCAGAGGTGCCCTTGGGAATTCTCTTTCCAAATTCCCCTCTGCTGGGGCTGGGAACGGGGCAGTCCATTACTGGTCTCCTCCCTGGAAGGCAGGAGACATGGCCCGAGCTGTGTTTCAGAGCCAGAGTACAACAGGTGGTGAGTGTGATGGGGAGGAGTAGCCCCTTGTGTGCTTCACCCACATCCAATGGCCTTACCAAGACATTTCTGCCTTTTTTAAAGGACCCACTGTCTATTCAAAGTTAGGGTGCTTCCAGAGAGTTCTTGGGACAAGTTTTGAAGGAGAGAGGAAGGGGATACTTACCGGTGGCCCCATGGGCCCTGGCAGTCCTGGGTGCCCCAGAGGTCCACTTGGTCCAGGGGGCCCTGGGGGCCCTGGTGGACCTTGGATGCTGGCCTGGCTCTGTTCACCCTGAGGTTTGTGAAAACAAATGTTAGAGGGAAGGCCCCCAGAGCTGCAGACCGGCTCCCTCCCTATTGCCATGCACCCCGTGAAGGCCTGCTGTGATTTCTGCTGGGAAGGCAGTGGTGATGGGGGGAGGAGATGGTGGCATGATGGTGATGATGCTGTGGTGGTGGTGATGACATGCAGGGGCTGGTGGCAGTGAGAAGGAGGCCAAGACATTAGGTCCCCGAAGGTGGGGCTTCCAAAGAGGACTTGCTGCACAGAGAAGCCACGTAGAGAGATGTTCTGCAGGTGACAGAGGCAGAGGAGTACGTGAGAGATGCTTCCACCCTGGCCGGATGGCCTGAATCTTTGGCCTGGGCTTACATCTGTCACCTTCCCTGTGTGGCGAGGCACACGGGCTCCCCAAGCCCCAGCCTCTCAGTCACAGAATGGGAACAATAGCCCTCATTTCCTGGGATCCTTAGGTCACAGCCCATGGAATTTTGTCTGGCTCACTAAACAACTGAGCAAGAGACTCTACGTCCAAAATTTGGATTGGTGGCTTCTGATGAAACACTGGGGACCCTGGCTGTGCTGGGCCCACATTCCTATGTCCAAGGAGTGGCTGACCTTTAAGCGGGGCCCGAGTTCTCTGGCTTTTGTCCTCTCCCTCCTACCCCTTGTCACACACAGCCTGCTTCTGTTACTTAGGGGATCTACCTGGCCTCAGAGGGTAGTTGAGCCTCAGTTTCGTTGAAAGAGTTTGGAAGCTGTGTGGAAGTGCTTTATGCTATGTGGGGAGGCTGTTATCATTCCCTTGTCTCCTCAGCCACCTGCTCCGAGCCCAGCCTGCACCACATACCATGCCTGTCCCCGGAACAGACTGTGAGCCCAGGGAAGTAGGGATGGCATCACGCTTCCCTGGGAGGAGGAGACGGCCTGGTACTCGTGACCCAGATCTCAGGGCCGCGGCAAGGCAGAGTCATCCTAGATCTAAACCAACTTTGGTTCCCTGGTTTATTATTTTCTGTTTTTGTTTGTTTTGACGGAGTTTCACTCTTTGTTGCCCAAGCTGGAGGGCAGTGGCATGATCTCGGCTTACCATAACCCTCGCCTGCCAGATTTGATTCTCTTGCCTCAGCCTCCCGAATAGCTGGGATTATAGGTGCATGCCACCACACCCAGCTAATTTTTATATTTTTAGTAGAAACGGGGTTTCACCATGTTGGTCAGGCTGGTCTCAAACTCCTGACCTCATGATCCAACTACCTTGGCCTCTCAAAGTGCTGAGATTACAGGCGTGAGCCCTGGCGCCCAGCCTGGTTCATTATTTGATAAATGACCTCTTGGGTCAATCTGGGCTTAGCTCTTATGAGGAGGGGCCCATCCCTGCAGATGGGCTGAAGCAGAGCTTCCTGGCAGGTGTGGGAGCTCTGGGCTGGATGCTGGGGGATGCAGGCGGCTGGGGCTCCAGGCCGGCCCACCTTTCTCAGAGTATCTCAGCAAGCCCCTATGACACACTGGGTCTCCTGCTTCCTCATGTGAGGAAGGCAGCTGATGCTTGCTGCAAACTCTAGAGGGAAGCCGTGGTGATAAACAGGAGTGTACAACCTGGGAATGAGAAATGTAAGCTTTCAGCAAGACCTGCTGGCACCAGCTTTCGGCTGGAACACCTGTGGGCAGATGGCATCCAGCAGCGTCACTCTGGGATCCAGGCCTTATCCTGCCACACTCTCTGAGAAGCCACTTTAGGGCTCAGGGTGTCGGTGGCAGAGGAGGCAGGTGCTGAAATCACTTTGGCGGCTGCCCTGCCTGCAGGTCCCCTACCCGGCTGCATGCTGGTCATTGATAAGTCTCAGGTGGCACTGTCTCTTCTGAACTGAGAAAGGCTTCACTAAGCCTCAGGCCTTAAGAGGGGACCAGCGCAGCCTCCTTTTCAACCACATTAAATCTGATTCAGCTGCTTGGGTCCCAGAACCTCCTCAGAATCCTGTACTTTTTGCCTTTATATTTTTCACAAGACGGGGGAGGCTTAGTCTGAAGCAAACTCCCGAGGTTCTTTCTGACTGTGAAATTCTAGAATCTTCACAACGTCACAAATCTTACGTTGCAGAAGAGAAAACTGAAGCTCTGACAAGTTGAATTCCCTGATCAAAATCACACAGGAATTCCGGGTGGTGCCAGGACCCAAACTTGGAACTTCAGACTCTTCCTGTTCTTTCCAAGTAAGTCCCCAGCAGAAAGGGCTCACCGTCTACTCTTTCTGCACTTTGGAAATGACCTCCAGCGCCATCTGCCAAGCACATCGTATCTCATGTAAGTTTCCTTTTTCAGTGAATCTTAGACCCAATGTTTAAGCGGCTTGCAGAGCCTGTAAAATCAATATTGGCTTATTGATAGGAAATGGACAAGCATTTTTATGTCCCATCGTGGCCGACGGCGTAAAAAACCTGATTCTGGAGGCAGAGTCTGCAGCAGGCAGCTCAGCGGTACCTTGTCTTCTTTCTCGACTTTGGAAAGCAGGTCAGGGTACTACAAAAAGTTCTGGCTTAACCTCTTGCTCTTGAAAAGGGAGGCAGTAACATGCAGCGGCCAGGAGGAATCCCACACCCCTCTCAATTTCTTCCTTTGCAAAGCGGGGATAATGAGGTGGCTAGTGTGGGGAATGCATGAGATAATTTGTGTAGAATTCTCACAACAATGCCTGGAACCCAGCAAGGGCTCAACAAAGAACAGCTGATACAGCTAAGGCCTGGAGGTCGTCGTTGGGGCCCCAGAGAGTGGCTATTCTGAGAGTGTGGACTCAGCTCTCCTGAAATGGGGTCCGGCACAGGCTGGGGTGGGTGGCAGGGGTGCTTCTCCGAGCTGCCAGCGGGCCTCCTGAGTAACCATGCTCCAGTGAGTGCTCGGGCACACGGAGGCTCTTGAGGATTTGGCTGGCATAAGGTGATACACGGCCTGCAGGCTTGGGTGGCACTGGAGTCACGTGTCCCTCTGTATTTTTAGCTGTTAATTGGAGGGAGTTTTCAGCCTTGTTCAATCAGGTGCCTAAACATCCAGGCCCTTGGGCTCCTGACTGTTGAGTCAGGCCGGATGGTGACTCGAGGCTCTATGGTCAGGCTTTAGAAAGCAGGTCAGAGCCCTGCCACTGCTAGTGTCCTGTGCCGGGTGGGGGAACCCAGTGCAGTGTGAGAAAGGCGAGGAGCACGGCGGGCCACCTGGCCTGGAATCAAGCTGTGGTCTCTTGAGGAGCAGCGGCCTGATGGCTTTGCTGTTTGTGATCTGCCCCTGTCCCACCTCCTTGAGCTCAGAAGGCAGGAAGAAGGAAGCAGTTGACCACAACGTTGGCTGTGGATTACATTCCCTCCACAGATTCCCTTCCCTTGCTCCCCAAACTCAGGTTACAAGCGGTCAGATGCTAAGCAGTCTACTCTTCTAAGCAGAGAGGAGTTAGGTCTGGCCGAGAGAGCCCTGGATGGGGAAGGTCTGAAGGCCTGACTTCAATTCCAATTCTGTTTCAATGCCAGTTTCAATTCTGCCTCTTACTGTTAGTATAACGTTGGGCAAATCAATTCACTTCTCTGAGCATCAGTTTCCTTATCTCCAAAATATGGATACTAGTAATAATAACAGCTAACAATTATGTCTCTTAAACTGTGCCAGGAACTATTCCAAGTGCTTTACATATCAACAAAAGCCCTATGAAATAGACACCATTATTATCCGTATTTTATAGATGAGAAAGCTGGGGCACAGAGAGGTCAAGTAACTTGCCCCAAATCATACAGCTAGTTACAGGAAGAGACTGGGTGCAAATTTCTGCTCTGCAATGCACTGGCTGTGTGACCTTGGCAACTTGGTTAAACTCTCTGAGCTTTGATTTCCTCATCTGTGAAATAAGGATGATCATGCCTAATTCATTAAACTGTTGGAGAATTAAATGTAACCAGACCTGTGAAATGGGTAACAGGGCGCCTGGCACACACTGACAGCTCTTGTTGGTGGCTGTTATGAGTAATCATTGTGTGGAGGTAGTTGTGGGTCTCCTGAGGTGTGTGTGTATTTCCATGTCTATGGCATAAGTGGACTTATTTTTGTCTAATTTAATTTCACTGAATTGGAGTGAGGTTCTGGCCTTGTCTACAGCCCCAGCAGGTTTGCCAGGCCCCTCGGGAAAGCCGCACATGGTCTAGACAAATGGGAAGTGTCTACCTGGAAAGTCCGCCTTTTTATGACCGGGGGTGGAGCCAGTCGCACTGAATTGAGGAGAGGCAGCAGCTGAGGAGAAAGATGAGTTGGAGGGCCAGAGGGCAAAGGCCAAAGATACCAGGTATTCAGATCGATGCCGAAAGTCACCAGGAGGGCAAGGCAGCCAAGAGGGACCAGAGCAGAGGAAGAAAGAAGAGAGATTAGCGTGCACATGAGCAGCGGGAGGAGGGAGTGGACAGGGTACTCTCCTGGCTTGAGGGAGCAGAGCGGAGCTTGTCCTTGGATGGCACAGCTATCCCTTGGGAGGAGCTATGACCATCACCCGGCCTCGCGCTCCAGGTCGGAGTTTGGGGTGTTGGCCAGCAGCCCCCGGAATGGGACAGTGCCCCCCCCCATGGCCAGGCTTGCCCTCTGTGACCATGCTGGGCTGCAGAGGCTACTGGACATGCAGCCCAACACTGCACTGACGGCCCCACCCGTCCCTGCTCGCTGGACAGAGGGGAGCCGACTCAGAGGCTCTGGCTAGGGAGCCACCAGGCCAGCAAAATTGGTACTTGAAGCTGGGCTGGTGTGCGGCTGGTGGGTTCTTTTTTTGGTTGAGCAAGAAAGGCTGGTGTCAGCACATCTGGGACGGTGGTCAAGGGCAGTGCCAAGCCCGGCTCCTCGGGCTGAGCTGGCTGAGGGTGCGGCCAGTGTGGGCACATGCTAAGTGCTGCTAAGGGCTCACCCTGGGGCTGGAGGGCCTGGAAAATAGAGGCTGGGCAAAGATGTCTCCAGAAAGTTCAACACGTTTTTGAGGGAGGCAACTTGCAATGCTATTATCTAATGTGATTTTCATTTCTGGAAATTCTTGCAGCTTCCAGTCCCTCTACCGACTGAATCTGAGCAACCCGTGGCTTTAGGAGGCCCTTAGAGCCCACGTGAAAATAAAAAGATGGCATATACTGTCATCAGCCGCTTGTTTTTGAAAGCACTTAAATCACAAGCGACTCCCAGGATGGGCATTACGAACCAGGAGCTGCTTGGGCTGTGAGTGTGCCCAGCTGGGGATCGGGACCCCAAGTGTGGCCTTTCCAGGTTGCAGCTGCTGCCTTCTGGGGCAGCAGTCGCACACAGAGCTCCTCCTGCTCCTGCTGCCAGGGCCTGGGGATGTGCAATGTTGGGCTGTATGTTCAGGAAGCCTCTCAGGGGATAGGGGCCAGGAGACCTTCCGGAACCCACAAACCTTCAGGGAAATTATGTGGCCGGAGCGCAGAGCTGCTGGCATGCTGCTTAGGCACTCCTAGTTTGGGAGGGGATGGAGTTGGCAGAGACAGGGCAACAGGGAACATGAGGGAGAGCCCACAGACACCAGCTCCCCTGCTCCCCACCCCTCTCCTCTCCCTTCTTGGGGAAGCCACAGAGTCACCTGAATCTCTTGGTGTCTCTGGGCCTCGAGACCTGCCACCCCAACCCTGCCCGAAGACCCCTTGGAAAGCCAACAGATATCTAGAAGCCCCCTGATTTTCTACCCTCTTTAAATAAACTTGCTCTGCCCCTCAGCTGGGACCCCAAATCTACTCCCCCGCCCCACACCTGACATGTTCCCCAGAGTGCCACTGTCAGGAGGCCATGTTTCACTGCACCCTGTGGCAGGGGTCTTCTCCAGCCCTCTGTCACTATGCCCTTCCCTTTCCTTGCATTGGGCTGAGGGTCAGAGAGCCCTGCACCCACCCCACCCCAAGCACTCACTAAGGACAGGTGACACACTACTGTTGTGTTGTCTTTTGTCCTGGGGGATGTTGTCTTTCTTTTGGGTAACATAACAATCCTGTGAGCCCATCGTTTCAAATAAACACAGCTGACCTTCTATTATTGTATCAGAATAAGGCTGCCGGGAACACTAGGGCCCCTGCATCCCTGGAGCACGTGCTGCTGACGGGCTGGCTCTGTGCTGCTGCCAGCCGGCCTGCCTTCCTCCCTCAGCCCAGGCCCAGCACTGCTGCAGCCTTAAACCCATCTCAGTCTCTCACATAACAGGCTCACAGTGGTTTCTTTGCCCAGGGATCCAGAGCTCAGGCCTGCCTTCCAGCCTCCTGAGGGTCTGGGCAGAGGCTGGGCCACGTTAGCATGGCCTTCCTGACAGCCTTTTAGAGTCAAGCTGACACTGAGCCTTGCTTATGTCCGTGTCTATTCCCAAAATCCCACTACCTGGACTGGCTGGCAGAAGTGGGCAGCCAGGGAGGCTGAGCACCATAAGGCATGTGACAGAGGGGAGGGACACCTACAGACGCCCATCCTCCATCCCTGCTGTCCAGGTCTGGGAGCAATGAGGCCCATCCACAAAATGAGGGGCATTTTTTCTGGGCCCAGCTCACTGGGGCTCCTGCTGGAGGAAGCTGTGCATATGTTGCTCTCCCCTGTCCCAAGTTGGACCCTGCTGCTGGGACACAAGTGTGAAGATTCCTGACAGGACAGTAGCAGTCTTTTGGGTTCTGTATCTTGGGGTGGAGCGAGGAAAAGGAAGGAGCAGGTGGGGGTGGGCAGAGCAACCGTCTCAGTCTGAAATCCCCACCCTGCTTAGAGAAGGGCTTCCTCTGATCTTACAGAGGCCAAGGAGAGACTTTACCCTTGAATTGCTACAGTCAGTCCCTGATTATCTCCCACTATTGAGGTTTGGATCTGAAATACCATCATCTGATACAGTGACTAATCTCAAAGTCCCACTTTTTTGGCCACGGTTAGGCTACCAGACACCCCCCTTCCCCCTCCCCCACCAACATGCTGGATGGGTGGGGACTCAAACAGACTCACACAATCCGTGCTGCCTCGGAGGGCAATGTGCAGAGGAGCCACAGAGCTCCAGACACAAGCAAGAGCCTCCAACATACCGAGTCGGACGTACATACAAAGGGCCAGATGTACAGACACGCACAGGTGATGAGCGGCTCCACACGGCACACGGCCGGAGAAACACATCAGCTGCTCCCGCCAGACACAGTGCCACCCCAATCCCCGCTCTTTGACAGGCTGAGTGCAGAGGGCGCTGGGTACTCCTGTTCCCCCACACTCTGTTAGGAACTGGAGATCCCAGGGAGATGAACCTGGGCTGGGGGCTGTGACCCAGGGATGGATTAAAGGGCTCTGCTCAGTTTTAGGGGTTCACTTACCCGGTGTGGGTACTCTCCACACTGACCCTGGGAAGGAGAGGGAAGGGGAAGGGGGTGTTAGGCACTTGCTGGGGCACCTGCCTCTCAGGCACCCCCAGGGCTTCAGGACATGCCTCACATCTCATCACTCACCAGCCCTTCTGCTTTGGTTTTGGTCTGAGCCCTCTCAGGCAGAAGAACTAAGTCCCTCCCTTGCCCTTGGCAAGCAGCAGGGAAGAAACTTCCAGGGCCTGCCTGGAAGCGGCCCCATGGAGCCGAGGGGCGAGGCTTCGCTTTACACCACTTGCCATATGGCAGAGTCGGGAGTTATGCTCCATGCCTAGCTAAAGGTTGACCCTCTAGGCAAGTCTGCCCGACAGCCCTGAACAGGAGCCCCTGGATAGGAGCAGCTGGCACCATGGGGATCCCCAAGCCACCTTCTCTGAGCTGGGAGCGCCAGGCCCCTGTACCAGCCACCTGGGGGAAGCACAGCAGAGTCTCTATCAGAAATTCAACAACACAGAGAGGGCAGGAGGCCAGGCCAGAGGTTTACAGATTGATGCCTCAGAGTCCCAGAGGCTCATGGAGGTATCAGGGAACACCATGGGGTGATAGCTGGGAGGGGCCAGAAAGAGGCTGAAGAGGGCCCAGCTCCAGGAGGAACGCTGGAAAAAGATGTCACCCAGGCCAGGCTCCAAGAGGACTCCTCACTCCAAGAAAAAGATGTCACCAGGAGTGGTGTCAACCCGAATCTATTATGCCGCTCCTCAGGGTCGGTCAATCAAAACTAAAGTTTGAAAATAACCACTATTGACCCCTTTCTGCCGGTCGGGAGGCCATTTCCTGAGATGGCGCCTCTAGGAAACCTCCATTGCTCTTACCTTTTCTCCTTTTTGTCCCTGAGGTCCCTACAAAGAGACGGAGATGAGAGAGTTAGAAACCAAAGCTAAGGTCACAGCCACCCGAAGCTTCTCTGCTGGGAAATAGAAGGACAAGGTACCAACCGGTTGTCCTGGGGGACCTGTCAGACCCTGTGGGAAGCAAACACACACAGGTCAGTGGGCAGTCAGAAGATGGGCAATTGGGGACACCTGCCTGGGTAGAGACTGGGGCTTTTCAGAACGCCTGGAACCCCGAGGGCTCAGCTCAGCCAGCCATGGCCAGGTCTTCCCATGCCCACCACGTTCAAGGTGGTATGGCCTCATCTGCAGAGCCTCAGCTTCTTCACCCCACAGTGGGCAGGACTAGGGGCTGTGATGAAGGACAGATGTCTTTCATCCATTCCTCCAACCACCAGCATCTCATGGGCCAGCTATGGAGGGGCTGCACCTAGATGTCAGGGAGTTTTCTGCTCCATGGGACACCCTGCCTCTTGCACACCAAGCCTCTGGGAGATACTAGTGCATTCCATCTCCTGCCTCCAAGGCTGCAGTGAAGCCCACTGAACGTAGAGGGCTGGGCCAGTGTCTCAGACACTGGGAGCCTTGGAGAAACCTTCGGCAAAAAAAAAAGGAAGCGGGAAGTTGGCACCTGAAGCCATGTTCTGGACTTCAAGGAATATAAGGGGCCTTGGCTGGGCACGGTGGCTCACGCCTGTAATACCAGCACTTTGGGAGGCCGAGGCTTGCGGATCACCTGAGGTCGGGAGTCTGAGACCAGCCTGACCAACATGGAGAAACCCTGTCTCTACTAAAAATACAAAAATTAGCTGGGCATGGTGGCATACACCTGTAATCCCAGCTACTCAGGAGGCTGAGGCAGAGGAATCGCTTGAACCCAGGAGGCGAAGGTTGCATGAGCTGAGATCGCACCACGGCACTGCAACCTGGGCAACAAGAGTGAGACTCCATCTCAAAAAAAAGTAGGGGGGTGGTCTTGAGATTTGCTTCAAGGCTGTCTTGTCCAGGAAAGGAGCTAGGGTCAGGAGGGACCCTTGCTGTTTGAGGAGGGCCCAGCACACCCTGGCTATCTTAGTAGGGTGCACTCAGGCTGGTATGGGGGGAAGAGGAGAAAACAAATGCCTTATGAGTTGAGGATCCATTCTGAGGCTGGTTCTTCAGGTATGTGCCTGTGAGGGAGATGCTTGTGTCGCTCCCGCTCCCGAGCAAGGTGACAGAGACAAGGCCCTGTGGCTTAGCGAATGGTGGCACTGGGACAGGAGCCCAGGTTTGTCTGATTGTCAAGGTCCAACTGTTTCCACTCCACCAAATGCTCAGAACTGGGCCAAACCTTGGGAGTCAGAGCTTCTAGACTTGGCTAGAGCCATTAGCCCGTCCCTTTGAGCCACCATCTTGGGGCCTGTGAGGACCCGCCTGCTGGACTAGTCTCTCTGGGGTCTGAAGCACTGCGGATCCCCATGGGCGGGTCCATCTGGGAGGTGGCCGCAGCATGCTGTGATGTGCAAGAGCCTTGCTCCTGCTCCCGACTTGCCAATCGGGTCACCTCCAAACTGGGAAACTCCCAAGAGCATCATTGGAAGGGAGAAGTGGCCTTTGGGACCATCCATATGGCATTCCTAGCCCATGTGGCTGGCCGAGCGTTTATTTTTTTAGTGTTTTATTGAGACAGGGTCTCGCTCTGTTGCCCAGACTGGAGTGCAGTGTGCAACCTCAGTTCACTGCAGCCTCTGCTTTCTGGGTTCACATGATCTTCCCACCTCTGCCTCACAACTGGCTGGGACTACAGGCACACACCACCATGCTGGCTAATTTTTCTATTTTTTTTTTTTTTTTTGTAGAGACAGGGTTTTGCCTTGGTGCCCAGGCTGCTCTCAGATTCTCAGACTCAATCTCCCTGTGTTGGCCTCCCAAAGTGCTGGGATTACAGGTGTGAGCCACTGCGCTCAGCCTGGCAGAGTGTTTAGAGTGAAGTTTTGCAGCACGTGATTCATCTGGCAGGGAACCCAGGCCGAGACCACAGGTGACCAGGTCATCCTGTCAGGACAGACATACAGGTGTGATGGGGGAGGGGTAGGCGGAGTTTCAGGACTGCAGAGACTTGACAATTGAGACCGGACATCCCAAACAGTGGTCCAGGGGACAGTCGTGGTCTCCATAGGGATTTCGTTTGTCCCATATGGTTTTGTTTCCACTAGTTGCCAACACTTAACAGCAAGCAGAGTGCAAATAAAAATCTGGATTTCAAGTTTCTTTTAATTATGTCGAGGCCCAACAACACATGGCACCAGTTATCTCCAGCCGGGCAGCGCCTGCCCCTTTAAGGGCCATGGCCACGGCTGACGTGCTTAGCACTTGCCACCAGCCCTCCACTAACTGCCACTGAAGCACAGCTAAGGTGCCTGCCACTTCTCATGTGCCAGGAGTGTTCTGAGTGCTCCTCGCTCTTCCGACAGCCCTGTGGGTGGGTTTGGACTCAGTCCAGGCCCTGCTTTACAGCCCTCATGTCATTCCTGAGTCTCAGACCCCCAGTCCTGTCCACCCTGCAGCTGCACTATTGTACAACTGTGTCTTCCCAACACCTCAACACCTTATTTCAGGTTCTTGGGAATAATGTGAATTGGGTAAGGCACAGGTGACTCCCTTTCAACAAGTGAGGACATAGGTTAAACGCATGAAGGCGGGTGCCAGTGCCCTAGTAGGACACCAGCGGAGGGGACAGCATCTGGGGCAGAAGACGAACAGATGAAGAACAGGCCAAGGTAATGAAGCTGGACAGTGGTGGGCAACTAACAGCTTGGGTCCCCATGCCAAGCCAAGCAGGAGTCGCATGGCTCGGTGGCCTGCCAGATTTGATGAGGCAGGCAGGGGACCTATCCCACTGATGTGAGCTCATGGGAGAAGGGGTAGGCCTGCCTTTTCTGTTGAGTTAGCTCTCAACCCCGAACAGACGGGTGGTCAAGAGCATGGGGCAGAGGAACGGTGTGGGCAGGGTGAGGGCAGGAAGAGGGGCCCCGTGGAAGGACCCTGGAGGAAGAGTCCCTTTCCTCCAGGACAATGTGCTGGCAGCTGAGAGGATGTGTGACTGAGGGGTAAGACCCCACTGCATGGGTCTGAATCTCAGCTCTGGTATTTAGGAGCTTTGTGACCTCAGGCAATGTACTTTGACACTCTGTGCCTCAATTTCCCCTCTCGTGAAGTGGGGATGATAAGCTGTTATGAGGATGACAGAATGGTGCCTATAGGATGACCATTATTATTACTTCTGGGGGACCATGGGCTACCTTAGGGTAGCGTAAGGCTGCCAGAGAGGGAAAGAGGGCGGGGGATGGGGACTGAAGGGATAAGCGCCCCAAACCCTTTATGGCTCTGTAACAATGTGGCATGGCAGTTTATTCCTGCCTCCATCCCCACTACACCACGCTTGTGCACAGCATGCCTAGGAACGGGGTCGGGGCGGGAGGAAAATGCATTTGCAGTGGAGGCAGCTGTGATGGAGAGGAAACCTTGCTAGGGGACCTGGATTCCAGTGCCAGCTCTTCTGCCCACTGCCTCTTCTCCCCATGCCTTCCTGGGAGTTTCTGTTTGGAGGTTGGGCCAGTTGGCAAGTTGGAAGCAGGATCAAGGGCTTCCCCTCCACATCACAGCACCCTGCAGCCACCGCCCAGATGGATCTGCCCAGGGAACTGGAGTGCTTCAGGCCCCCAAAAGGTGGAGAAGCAACAGTTGCTACTGGCCAGGTGTGCATGCTCTCTGGATCTTCCATCCTCATGCTTCAGATGGAGAAGCCCCTGCCCATTTCTCCTCCCTGCACATTGATGTGATGATCCAGGGCATGTGGCTTACACAGCTGGGGAGTGACCAGCACAGGCAGCCACTCCTGCTGTCCCTGCGGGACCTGCTTTGCAGTGCTTGGCTGTGCCTGTGAGGCCAGGCCAACTCCCACCCATCTCAAGAAGGCAGGAAAGCTGGGCTCTTACCATCTCCCCCTTTGGTCCCGGGTGGCCCTAGAAGGAGAAGAAGGTGAGTACCAGGTGTGCTGTTTGTGGCCCAGATGTTCCACCCCCTGCCCCCGTGCCCCTCCCTGCCCCCCATGCCCCTCCCTGTCCCCCATGCTCCTCCCTGCCCCCAGGCTCCATTTGTGCCTTCTGGCTTGTGTACTCCTTCACCCAGTCCCTAAGGCCAGGTTATTTGCTCACTGCCCCTCACTGGGCCTCACTGGCAGCTGCCTGCCCTTCAGAGAGCAGAGGTGGGGGTAGTCTCCTTGGACCGCGACCCTCACTCCATCCACATATCCAGGGTAGTTTTGGGGGATCCCTGGCCTTGTGACGTGAGTGGATATGGTTGCCGGTGCCCCTCGGCTGCACTGAGCTTGCTGGACTTTAGTTGGGGAGTGACTGGGCGGGACTAGAGTCCCTCAACTGAGAGAGGCGAGTGGTGGGGCCAGGCCTGGCTGTGCGTGGGGCTGCGTTCCATCCACCCTGAGGGCTTTGGATGAGTCATGCTCCCTTCCAGCTGACTTGCTTCTAGGACTGGGGAGGGGACTCCTTCCCCCCATGAACATTTGTGTCAGGGGACCAAGTCCAAAGGATTGAAATGAATGAAGAGAGGAGCTATTGTGGGAAGCAGTCTTCACATGGACTTGAGCACATGTGTAGGGTCTCAATCAGGGAGGGAGACCCTGATCTTGAGGACAGGGCCATGGGAGACACAGGTGCTACGGAGCAGGGGCAGGCGTGTGCACAAGTGGACAGGCTTCTTACACCAGCGATTTCACCTCTGCAGCCTCCACTCTCCCCACTGCCTCCTGGCCTCATCCCACCCCATCCAGATTCACCCATTCCAGGGATGGCTCTCTCCTGGACTCTGAAAGCCAAGCTGAGCAGCTGGGGACCTGTGCCCTTGGGAAGGCCACTGGGGTCAGGGGTAACTTAGAGGGCCCCCTCCTCCTCCCACTAGTGACAACCTTCAGCCCCAGGACTTTTCTTTCTAAGGAAAGCATCCTCCAAGGAGCCAGGGTCTTGCAGAAGGACCAACAGATCCAGGATCACTGACCTGCAGTGTGGAGGAGCGGGTCCACTTACCGGTTTGCCGTCCAGCCCAATGGGACCCTGAAACCAGAAAGGCCAGATGTAAAGACTAAGCATCACACGCCTCCTCCCAAAGAGGCTCCCTGGGCAGTGGGGAAAAGCACAGATTCTAGATTCTGAGAAGTTGGAGCTCAAGACCCTGCTTGACCACATACGTGTTATGTGACCATGGGTAAGCCTAGGCCTCAATTTCCCATCCCGAAATGGGGTTGAGAGAAATAGAACGTTCTACGAAGGGTCCTTGTGAGGAGGGAATGAAATGCTGGATGCCAGGGGCACAGCTCAAGAGAGAACCCAATGGGTGGCCTCCCCATTAATGTCAAAGATGTCACCCTTGCCCTGAGTGCAGAGGGGGTGATGTGTCCCTAGAAATCAGGGTCTGGCCTGCACTGAGGCTGGGAAAAAAGGGGAACTGCTCCCTCTGCTCTGCCTGTCAGCACCTGTCTTAGGCCCCATAGGCAGTGGTCAAGGACACCCAGATGGCCACCCCTCTGCCAGATCCCCCACTCCTGGATCTCCTCTCAAAGCCCGGGCACAGGCTGAGCCACAGGGTGATCTCCTGCAGGGCATTGTCTATTCCATATTCCCAGGTCATGCTGGGGTTTATCAGCCTGTGACTTCACTCACATGGAGCCGGTCCTGCTGCCCCTTGTTTGTGTATTTGCTTCCCTGTATTTATTCCTTGCACCATGATCTGACTGCTGAGCTACCGTCCTGAGTTGGTGTCCATGAATGGCTGCAGAAGCAGGCCCTTAATGACCAGGGTTTGGGAGGGAAAGAGTGGAACCAGGGCTGAACTCAGATGAGGTTTAACCTAATCAGGCTTACAGACCACCTGGGACACAGCTAACTTCAGCCTTCTCCACTTACCGGAAATCCAGGAAAACCTCGAGTGCCTGGTTGACCCTGGGAAAAAAAAAACAGGAGACAAGTAAGGTTGAGCGAGGATGAGGCGCAGCCAATTCCTAGCCCTCCAGGTCATCTGTGCTCCCATCCCTCTCACTCTGTGTGATCATCCTTGGAGGACACTCACTGTGGTTAGCAGATTGGGAGGGAAGATGGAGAATGAGGAAATGGAACATCATAGGAAATGTCCTTCAGGGGCTGGGGGTGGGAAAGGAACAGGAAGGGGCCAGTGTCCTTTGGGTCTACTTCTGGGAAGTGGCCCTGGAGAGCTCCTCACCACTGTGGATGTGTGGCTTGTAAACAGATACATGGGACAGCAAGGACAGCAGACACTCAGCCTGCAGCACACTGAACTCCTGGACTGCGATCATCTAAGCACTTTTTTATTTACACGGTCATTGCTCATAGCCACTTATCTAAGGATGGTTTGGATATCAGAACTTGACCTTCAAAATGTGTGTTTTTAGCTAGAAAAGGTCAGATTGCTCCTGTTCCTCTCACGCTGGCCAGGAGGCTTCTCCTACCAGTTGGGCAGTATCTGAGCATCCCCTAATCTTTGTGGGATGCAGAGCAATCCAAGCTCATTTTCCTGGAGGTGCAGAGGGCAACACAAATAAATATTTAGGGTGGTGACTAGAGGCAGGTTCACTGGTCACAGTCCAGTGGTTTATGATCAAGATTCAGGACAAAGGGGATGTGCTGAGATTAGAAGCAGCACAAGGCTGTGATGATGCAGGGCTGAGGAGGGATGACCAGGTGGTCAAGGGTGATGGAGAGCTAAGAAACGTGAGTCTTGTCGCCCCCTTTCTCAAGGACCAGCAAGGGCTCCCTTCTACCATGTTCAAGGCCATACCTCAATTCCGTCCTGATCAACCATGTTAAGTTCCTTTCCTGCCACATATTTCCGTCTATTATCTGCTCAGACACACTGGCTCACCTGCCGTTCACCAAACATGCCCCGTTCTCAGCTTGGGGTTTCCTTTGGCTGACACGGTCGCAATCTCTTCCCAAGCATGGGCTTTCTAGACTGGCAGACTAAATTCTAATCCTGCCTCCAACTATGGCTGTGGGACGCTGAGCATGTTGTCTAAGCTCCCAGAGCCTCAGTTTCCTAATCTATAATATAGAGATAACCGGAGATAACAGTATAAACCCATAGGATCATCAAATTCAATTTAATTATGTTTGTAAAGGCTATTGAAATGGTAGCTGCCATCATCAGACACTTGTTGAACTGAACTAAACAGGGAAGCTCCAGAATAGAGCAAGGTTGCTGTTGGGCTCAGTATGTCCTGGGATCAATGAAAGTTTGTCCTTGTCAAGCAGCAAGTTTTAGAATCAGATCCTCTCCAGAAAATTTCTCTGGATTCATTGGCTATGATCCTAAAACATCTCCAGGCTGCTAGGGTCCTCCTTGAAGCCGTGAACACAAGTGCCCAGTGGCCTGTGCAGGGAACACATCAGCTGGGTGGGATGGGCACCCTGCCATCAGGGTGGGTGCCCTGATTCAACAGGGAGCGAGCTGAAGTCTCCCGCAGGCTTAGGATGGGCTTGTGGCAGCCATCCAAAAGGGCACAAGGGAGGAGATCCCATTCATCTATCAGACGGGGCCCTGGCTTTTCTCCTCTCAAGGATAAGTGATGCTAAGAATAGACCAAGGAGAAAACCTGGAAACCATGCAATGTCATCTCTGAAACCTCCCAGTGTAAACTTTCTGTAAACTGCCCTGCACACCAAGCAGCCTGAAGGAAAGGTCAGGAGGAGAGGATTCCAAGAAACATCTTCAGTCCCACTAGGGACAATGTTTACATGGTAGGGATAATCACACAGTTTGCTGATTACAGAGCCCGCCCTGGCTAGCAGGATGCATCTCCCCAACCCAGGACCAAATCCAGGACTAACCAAGGCTTTTTCAGAGATCTTAGGAAGGCTGTTGTCATGGACCAAGTGTAAACTGGGATGCCACTTTCTGGAGAGGCTGGGCCTGGGAAAGGCATTTGGGGAGACTTGGAAATAGACTTTAATTTATATATCTTCAATTATATCCTGAGGTTAGACATCGCTTCCAGTGTTTCTCTGCCTGTTTCTCTTTACCAGTGTTTTCTGCTAGGTTGTTTTTTTCCTACTGATTTGAGTGAAGCTCTTTGTCAAAAATAAGTCTCTGATAATCATATATGTGGTGACTATTCTTTCTAATTTGGCATTTGTCTTTGATTTTGTTTCTGGTATGTTTCATATTTATATAGACAAACTTAATCTTCTCCTATGGCATTTGGGTTTTATGCCATGTTGAAAAGGGCCTTCCCCTGTTCAGAATTATAAAATGTTCTCTCATGCTTTGTCTTTGTATTTTATGGTTTCCGGTTTTATATCTAAATATTTTGTTCATCTGGAAATTATTCTGATATAACAAATAAATAGGCATTAATAATAAAAAAACGACAACTGTCTTTCATTTTACCTTTTTCTAGGTGGCTTATTGGTTGCCCCAGCATCATTTGTTGAACAATTGATCTTGCTTTTCCTATTGTGAAATGAAGCCTTTATCACGTATCAAATGGACACATGCATTTAGCTTTATTTCTGGCCTCCCCATTCTGTTCAGTTCATATGTTTATTTAGATTGTCCTGTTTTTATAATACATTTTGGTATCTAGAATTTTGTTGAATTCCCAATCTCATGAAAAATGGACAGAGATTAGGATCACTTTAAATGCATAAAAATAGATGCATTTGTACATTAATTCATGGTTTACTATTACACCCTTCTGTACCAGAACAAGGGAAATACACTTTACATTGATCTCTGAAATCTTCTCCCTTAATTCAAAGTCAGAACAAAAAGGGAGAGAAAGGGGTCCCCACTTCTGAAAGTGGACCCCTACTCCTTTCTGCCTTTCTCCTACTAGCAAATACACAGACAGAAGGTTCTTGTTGGGAAAAACCCACCAGGATGTCCCCCTTCTCTTATTTGACCCGAGAGATGGTCAGTTATGTCTCTGCCCAGGGGCTGCCTCATTCTACCTCCCTCACTCCAAGTCAGTACCAACGAAACTCCATGCTGGTAAACGTTTAACCATTAGCTGGGTGGGGGAGAGTGGAGAGGAGAGCCCCACATTGCACAGCATTTGCCAATGTCTGTGGTGTAAATACACCTACCATAGCTGATTTCAAGCTACCAACGTGAGGTCACTGAACACAGTTGGGAGGAGGTGAGGTGTGCATGGTCCACTCTTGCCAGGGATGGCTCGAGCCACTGAGTGATGAGGTCAAAGTCAGAGGCTGCTGGGCCTGGTTAAGATTCCTGGTACGATAAGGAAGCCAGCTCCAGCAGACCACATGCTCTGACCTCCAGCAGATGACTGTTCCTGTTGGACATTATGGCATCTCTAAGTCATCATGCTCAAATTAAACTCATCTCCCGTGGTAGAGGGGATGAGTTTCCTTTACCAGGGGAGATGAGTTTAATTCCTTCTGGGGAAGGGGACTCTGTTACTCAAGTCAGAAATGTGGCATCATCTTGAGCTCCTGCTTCTCCCTCAATCCCCGTTTTTTATCATCACTAAATCCTCTGATTCCATCTCCAAAACAGCTTGCAAGTCCAGCCCTCCTGGCCAGCCCACCAATTCTACTCCAATCCAGGACTTGGCTGTTGCAAGTGCCTTCCAGCCAGCCTCCCACTACAGCCTCTTCTAAATATGCTGCTTGCTGGGCCTTCTAAAATCTTTTAAACTGCAAATCTGGCTATGTACTACATCAGCCTAACACAACCTACAGGCTCCTCACACCCTCAGGACGAAGCCCAACCCCTGACCATAATGTAAGGGCTTCTCACTGGTCCTTGACTGCAGTTATTAACCCCTCCTCCAGGAAGCCTTCTCTGCCTGCCCTCCTCCCCCAAGTCTGGTGCCTCCTCCTTGTCCCACAGCTCTCTAACCATCCCCTGGCTTAGTACTTGCTTGCTGGGCTCTCCCACTAGATTGTGTACCCAGAGGGCAAGCTGACTGAGGTCAGGTTTCCACTGTCTACACAGCACCTAGCAGGCACTGGGCTCTTAAGAAATATGAATGGAGTGAATTACACACTCGGTAGGTGTGTCTACCTGGTGTGGGGTGGCTCCTAGTGGATGAAAACTGGAAGTTCAGATATCTCCTGGCCCCAGAAGAGAAGCTGGGGAGCTCAGAGAGGGAATGGGCCCCCTTTGAGATGGGGCATTTCCTAGGACTGGCAGATCCCCTGCCCAGGACCTGCTGGGCTTGCCAGCATCTTGGGGATCCAGCCTCCCCCTTGGTTTAATGAGGCTCCCTTAAAGTCAACGTGCCCCAACACTGTACTCCAGCTTGCTCCATTAGAAAGTGTACCCTCCTCCAAAGTGCTTGGAGGGATCCCCCCTTTGCTTGGACTATTTATCAAGCTCCAAGAGGGGAGGCAGGTGGCCCCTGAGAGTGGCAAGGCTGGTTCTTATTAGCAGCATCTATCCTGGACCCTTCCTGGCTGAGTGGAAAGCCAGACATTCTCCATCATCCCTGGCCACCACCAAGGGCGCCCACTTGACCACTACCCATTAATGACTAAATGGACTCTTTGTCTTCCCCTATCCCTGCTCCCGTTAGCTCAGAGCAGCTTCCTGGAAGGAGCTGAGGGGGTTGCCCCTGCTGTCCAGTAGGGAATCAGCAGGGATGGCTCCAGCCACTGGGTGACGGGGGCCAAAGTCAGAGGATGCTGGGCCCGGTTAAGATCCCTGGTATGATAACACCTTTTCTGGTGCCAATGTAGGCACCCGCCTGGAGGATTTTCTTTCTCCTGAAGTAAATATCCTTTTAAACAATAGCATTTCAAACACGGAACAGGGTGTTGAGGCAAGAATGCAGGCTTTGAGATGAGGCTGACCTGGCCAAACCCAAGCTCGGGAACTTACTAGTTGGGTGACCACAGGTTAGGAAACTGTTTTCTCCTCTGTAGAATGGGCTGGTGGGTCCTGCCTTACAGCTATGAAGGAGACCTACTATGTGATAAGTGCCTGGGAGACAGACGCTCTCACTGCTCCCTGAACAGAAGGTGCTTTTCACCATTCGAGCCAAACCCAGCGCAGTAGGTATGTTTCTGATTAGGTATGTGTGCTGGGCTGAGGCCAGGAGGAGCAGAGGCCAACCATTGCCCTGAACAAGTCTCCGACAGGGGAGCTTTTCAGTAACTTTTCGGTAGCCTGTTGACATAATTTGCCGAAAGCGTGTTAGAGGATCAATGGGATCCACACAACAGAACATCTGTAGCCAGACCGGAAGGCAGACAGAGATGGCGGCCCAGGGTAGGGCCTGTGTGCTGTGTTATTCCCTGTCCTCCCAACACACCAGGCTTGGTCCTCTCTGTTCCAACCGGGAGGACTGACTGTCTTCTGTTTCTATGACCTTCCCATTGCCACCTTCATCAGGACCAACTCGGCCAGGGCATTGGCGCTGCGCCTCCTCCAGTACACAGGAGGCCCAAAGCCCACTGGGGCAGCCACTGTGTTAGCCCAGGAGCACCTGCCACAGTGACACCAGGCCCAGCCGGTCCATGGTGGCAGCAGGGGTCAGAAGCAGACTGGAGCCACATGGCCTGGCTGAATGCTGAGCTACCAGTGTGGCCACACACCAGCCCTGTGGCTTTGGGCAAGTCACTCAGCCTCTCTGTGCCTCAGTTTTCTCATCTGTGAAATGGAGGCAATCACAGTCCCTATGTCATGGAGTTTTTATGAGGATTAAGTGAGTGAATATGTGTAGAAGTCTTAAGATAAGGCCGCCACAGAGGAAGTGTGAAACATGGTCATTATGGTTTGAGCCCAGAAGAAAACCTTGCTGTGAAGGCCATGTCTACTCAGCCCTGGACCGTCCAAGTGCTGCCTCTGACCCAGCCCCTGACCTGTCTGCCAGCCTGGCTCTCCCGTCCCTGCTCTCCCTCCCAAACCACCTCTCAGCTCCCTGCACTGGCCGCAATACTTTGCTTGGCGTTCAGCTCACCGTGGGCCCCTTCTCTTGGACGTAACTTAGCCATTTGTTCTCTGCCCTCTCTCCCTCTGCGTGGGTCTCAGTCTCCCAGAGCTAGCCCTCCGCTCCCATCCCTCACTGAGCATAACGGGTCTGGAAAAGTCCAGAAGGTGGAGTCAGCAGCCTGTTGTGCTGCTTTGGTGAGGCCAGGGCTCCTCGGTTCTAATCCCACCCAGCCTCTACACGGGAGACCTCTTCCCCTCTCTGAGCCTCAGTTTCCCTTTCCTTTCTGAGAGGGCTTCGTTAGACCATTTCCGGGATCCTTTCACCCTGACACGTGGTGATTTTATTACAGCCCCGTGGCTCAGCACTCTGGGAAAATAACAAGCCCTTCCTCCCACAGCCTTGATATCTTACTGGCTTCATCACCCACACCCCCGTTTCAGTCCCTAAGGAAGCACACTGAGGGGAGCCTCACAGGTTTTCTCAGGCTCCCAGCCAATGGGTGGAGGGTGCTATGAACACACAGGACCCAGCACTGCACACAGAGGCGTCCTAGGGGGTGAGTGCGGGTGGGGCCTTTGGCAAGACTAGGAGTGCATGCCTGGGTCAGTGAACCCCAACTCGTATCTGCTCCGTGGGCTTCCAGAAACAAGGGTTTGTTCCCCGGAAAGCCGGATCACCCCATCCAGAGGAGAGCGAGCCCTTTCTCCCTTCTGTCTGTAAACAGCAGGGCCGCCTCGCAGCTGCTGTAGCTTCGTGGCTAGAGGGCAGGTCCCTCAGAACCTCCCAGGGGGCTGTAATTTAGGTATATTTAGTCAGGCCACTTTCCTTAACATCAACATCGGCACGGAGGCCTGGTTGGGCTGACCACATCACATGCGGTGGCCTCCCCACCCAGGGGCACAGCCGCCCCTCGCTGTTCCCTCATCCCCAGCCTAAAAGCCCTTTTCATCAACTCACCCATCCCCCCCACACCCCGAAGAAGAGCAAAAACAACTTACAGGTGGGCCGCGGGGACCAATGATGGACAGCCCAGCGTCTCCGGGGGACCCCTGCAGGGAGAGAGGAAGGGGGAGAGGGAGCGAGGGGCAGGGAGTATGGAGAAGAGGAGCCGGAACGAGAGGAGCCAAAAGGAAGGAGCTGGCAGGGGGCGGGGGCAAGACGCTGGCCCCATGGGACAGCAGGAGAAGGCGGCCAGGGGACGTGGGGGGCCACGAGGGGATCAGCAGAGGCAACATAGAGGGCACGGGGGCACAGAGGGAGCATTCGGGAAGGGTTGGGAAGGGCAGGTAGTGGGGGGAAGCAGCAGGAGGGAAAGGAGAAGAGGTGTCAGAGAGAGCATAGGACATGGTGTTCCGGGGAAACAGGGCAGTGGGACCACAGGCCCGGGAAGCAAGAAGGATAGGATCCATTGGAGTGGCGGGAAACAGGGAGGCACAGGGAGAGAGGGGAGACTTAGCAAGGGTGCCCAGTCCCCAGCCTCTCCCCGGCCCAGCCCAGGACACTTTCCAGCCCTCCAAATACCCATCTGGCTGCACACCGTGTGGCTAGTGAGCAGGGATCTGCCTGAGAAGGGGGCTGTGAAAACAGAGGGTGGGGACACAGGCAACATGCGTGCTGTGTGGACCCAGCATCTCTGACCCTGAAAGGCTGAGCTGCCTCACATTTCCGAGTCCCGGTTTCAGAATGACATGGAGGGGTGCAGGTTGGGGCAGAGTTGTCAGCTCTGAAAGGCAGGCAGATGCTGCTGAATGAGGAGCTCAGAGTGCTGTCAAGGGTGGCTGAGCTAGCTAGACAAGTGCCATGTGTATCCCCAAGTTCAAGGTCTTACTCTGCCAGGAAAGTCACAAAACCTCTCTGAGCCCACACCTCCTCTGTGAACAGGGATGCTGAGAGCGGCTCTGCTGCCCTTATTTTTCAAAACGCATTTTGGAAAATGTCATGCCTCACATGCAGGGGAGGTGTGATTTCAGATTAGTCCCTGTTTATGTCATGGGAATGATACAATAATTTTTATACAAGGCAGTGTAGTGTCATGGTTAAGAGCCAGAATGTGGCTGGGCACGGTGACTCACGCCTGTAATCCCAACACTTTGGGAGGCTGAGGTGGGTGGATCATGAGGTCAGGAGATCGAGACCATTCTTGCTAATGTGGTGAAATCCCATCTCTACTAAAAATACAAAAAAAATTAGCCAGGCATGGTTGCATGCACCTGTAGTCCCAGCTACTTGGGAGGCTGAGGCAGGAGAATCCCTTGAACCCAGGAGGCGGAGGTTGCAGTGAGGCAAGATCATGCCACTGCACTGCAGCCTGGTCGACAGAGCGAGACTCCTCAAAAAAAAAAAAAAAAAAAAAAGCAGCCAGCATGCCTGGGTTTGAAACCCAGTTCTGCCAGCCACCAGCTGTGTGACCTTGGGAAAGTGACTTAACGTCCCCATGCCTGTTTTCTCTTCTGTGAGGATACAGATAGCACCTGTCTCATAGGGTGGATGTGAAGACGTCATGCGATAATGTAAAGAACTTAAAACAATGCGGTCCATGGAAGGGGTGATGTGTCTTTCTCCTCGGTGGTTTAGCCCCTGCCATTGTGGAGCTAACAGTCTAGTTCCATTTTGGGGACAAAATAGCATGGTAGCTAGGGGCCCTAGCCTTGGAGTCAGACACACTGGGGCACCTCTCCAGCTCTGCCACATTCTAGCTGTGTGACCCAGAGCATGTGACTTGGCCTGTCATCCGTGCCTCATGTAAATGGGAATATTAAAGCTTCCCTAGAAAGGTTGTCAGTGCTGGTTTGGAAAACAGACAACAACATACTTAAAACTGCACCTGACACAGTTTGTGTTTAACACATGGCAGCTGTATTGTAATTGTTGAGGTTGTTATTCAGGAGATGGAAAACTACTGCAGAAATGCGGCATTACAGGCAGGGAAGTATGGAGCCAGGCACCGGGGGGCCTGGCTTGGAGCCCCTGCTCATCACAATTGCTGTGCGACCTTGGGCGGGCACTGGGCCTTCCTTGGGCTTCAGATGAGCTTCCTCATCTGTAGGGTGAGCTTGTTAGAAGTGTTGTGCTCGGCCAGGTGTGGTGGTTCACACCTGTAATCCCATCACTTTGGGAGGCTGTGGAGGGTGGAACAACGTGGTGAAACCCTGTCTCTACTAAAAATGCAAAAATCAGCTGTGCATAGTGGCGGGTGCCTGTAATCCCAGCTACTTGGGAGGCTGAGGCTTGAGCCCAAGAGATGGAGGTTGCAGTGAGTTGAGATCATGCCACTGCACTCCAGCCTGGGTGACAGAGCGAGACTCTATCTCAAAAAATAAAAAAAAGGTGTTGTGCTCAGAAATCTCTCAAGAACTCCCCAGGGCTGATGTTCCAGGATGGCTTCTGGGGTTATGACTTCTCAGGGGTACTCTATTCCATAACCTCGGGGATCCCCCTGGGCAGTTCCAGCTACACTAAATTGCAATTGGCCAGAGCGGTGAGGCCACATGCCACCAGGGCAGGGCAGGGAGACCCACTCAGCTGGGAAAGCTGGGACCGCCGCCCAGGAATCCCAAGACTGCTGCCCGATGGTATGGAAGCTGTTAGGAAACTGGGCCGTGAGAGGCTGTGAGGGCAGCAGGCCCTGCCAGCACCCTCTGCTGGGGCTTTCATCGGCGGAGGAGGGTGGAGAGGCTCCCCGTCAAGAGTCCACCTGGAGGCGGCGGCTGGGTGCAGGGCAGAAGGGGAAAGCGTGGACTCACCTTCTCGCCTGGTTGACCCTTTACTCCCTGGGGCAGTCACATGCAACACAGGGTGCAGGAAGAGAGAAGGAGGGAGAGAAAAAAGGGGATGAGAAAGAGGCACCCACCCGAGAATCCGTGTTCATGGCACAACAACCAAACAGAAGAAATCACCGTGAAATAGAAACAAAACAAAACACAGATGCTGACACATGACAGGTCCACATCCAACAAGCTCAGCATGTGGCATGTGGAAGCGGCCGCTCCAGATAACTGAGAAACAGTGGCTGGGGCTGCAAGAGGCCCTCTTGAGGCATGTGTGTGCGTGCGCGCGCGCACACACGCCAGATGATGGAAGAGAGACAGAGATAGAGATAGAGAAAAGAGAACAAGATCCCACCTAAGTCAAGAAGTCTTCCCCAGCTGGGCACCGTGGCTCATACCTGTAATCCCAGCACTTTCAGAGGCTGAGGAAGGTGGATCATAGGGTTAGGAGGTCAAGACCAGCCTGACCAACATGGTGAAATCCCATCTCTACTAAAAATACAAAAACAATAGCCGGGTGCAGTGGCAGGAGCCTGTAATCCCAGCTACTCAGGAGACTGAGGCAGGAGAACAGCCTGAACCCAGGGGGTGGAGGTTGCCGTGAGCCAAGATTGTGCCACTGCACTCCAGCCTGGGAGACAGAGTGAGACTCCATCTCAAAACAAACAAACAAACAAACAAAAAACAGAAATCTTCTCCAGAAGCCACGGCCCCAGCTGGTCAGGGTACTCTGAGGTTGGGGTGGGGATGGGGGAGAACTTCCCCAGGGCTGTGTTGTGACACTGGTGTCTAGGAGGTTTGCATGTCCAACTGAACACCAGTAACAAAGCTTTGCCAAGCTAGACAAGCCCAGTGTCCTTGGGGCTGGCCAGGCCAGGTGGAGGAAGGGGTCATGGAGAAACACAGGAGGCTAGAAGGCAGGAGACACACCTCTGGAAGGATGGAGCATGGGTCAGTGAGGCAGCAGAGGTGGGTTAGGAGGCCAAGGGTCTCTTGCAATCACAGTGACCAGTAGATGGACAGTCCACCCTGCTCTGGACAGGCCAATGATGCCACCTCTGGTAAACCCCAGGGATGACCCAGGCATGTCACACCTACTGGCCACCTCACTCCTAATCATGTGGCTCATGCCAGGACCCCTCCTGGGCAGCCAAATGGGCCCATTGTCACATTTAAAATAGCACCAGCAGCCACAGTGGCTTGAAAATAGGCCTGCCAAGAAGGAATTGGGGGGACCTCCTGCAGCTCCCTTCCTTCCCCCGCTGCTATGGGGCACAACACAGCTCAGGGGGACACTTCCTGGGGGGAGGTGTCCACAGGGCCCAAGAAGGAGGGAAGGAAGGGGAGGCCCAGAGCTGCCACTTTGCATTTTGCAGCTGTGGGCTGGTCTCTGCGCTCAGGGAAGAAGCTCCTGAAACTTGCCTACTGGGAGCAGGGACTTTGGGGTCCCACAGTTGGCTTGGGTACAAAACCCAACTCCACCCTATCTCAGGTGCAGTGAGTCTCAACAGCTTCATCCGGAAGATAGGTGCTTAGGGGGCAATGGTGGCTCAGATGCCTGGCTCAGGCCATCAAGAAAGGATGGCTGAATCACATTTCCCTGCTCTGTACAGAACCTCTGACAGCTTGGGTGGACTCAGGATCTGGAGTTCGAGAATGGAAGAGAAGAGACAGGGCTGGGCAGCAATTTCACTATGCTCTGGTCTGGGAGGTGGTGGGAGAGCTTCATGTGGGGTGGCCCAGGGCTCCCAGCCTCTATTCCTTGATAGACAGGCCTTGAGTGGGCCCTGGAGAGAGCTCTGTGACACGGAACACTTGCCCTGAACTCTAAAATATCCCAGGCCTCTGGGGCTTCATTCTAAGGATCAGACCCTCCTCAGAGCTGCACGGCCAATGGGGGTGGGTGGTGAGGGGTGAGATCCTAATATTGTCAGGATCAAGAACACGGGTTTAGAGTTGGGCTATCTGAGTTCAGATTCCTGCTCAGCCACTTCCTGTGTGACCTTGGGAAGGACATTTAGCTTCTGAGCCTCAGTTTCTCATCTGAAAAGTGGGGGTGGAAACTGTGCCTACCTCATACAGTTCTTGTGAAGCCTGAGTAAGCTAACATATGGAAGGATCTTAGCACAATGCCAGCAAGCAGTTAGTGCTAGCAAGGGTCAGCTATCCATCCTCTGAATGCCTTTTCTCAACCTCTGAGCACCAGCAGGCTCACACCAGGCGTGCAAATTCACACAAGGATGCCACACTCACTCCTAGAGCCAATCCCATGAGATGCTGAGGCAAAGCTGAGAATGACATGGGGGTGGTCAGGAGTCCTGGGGAACCAGGTGGAGGCGGAGGCTGACGGCTGATGGCTGATGGGAAGTTAGGGGTCACACAGGGAGAGCAGCTGAGGCCATGTCCCAGCCGAGGCTGGGGAGTGGTGAGGGTGGGGCATGGCCATCACTACCTTAGGCTACTTATAGCCCTTCGCAGACACTCAGGGCCTGCTGCTGGCCTTCCCATTCCTGGGAAACACCCTCTCCATCAAACATTCTCATCCCCCCTTCTCCATCTTCATTTTCCAGCAGGAAACATGGAATGTTTTAACTCTCAGCCTCCTCATGAGGACTTGGAGTTTCCACCTGGAACCACGCCCTGTCTTCACCATCCCTTAGTGCATCTCTGTGTACAGAGAAGTCCTCTGGGAACGCTGGCTCCACCGAGGGGTAACTGCAGGAGCAGCTGTGCATCTGAGGGTGAACTGCCAGCTCTGGGGGACGGAGTGGGAGTCCTCCCAGTGTCGAGGCTCAGTTTGTCCCTCCCCCAGTTCCCAGCAGGTGACTGGCAAAGGGCTTTGTTCATGCAACTTTGTTGGGGGTTTCCTTTGCTGTGGCAGCTCTCTGGAGAGTAAAGCCATATTGTGGGGTCTGAAGGACTGGAATAAAACTTCCCTTCTCCTTCCTTGTCCCTCTCTGAAGCACACTGGGGCCTGGGGAAGGGAAAGTGCTGACCCTCTCCTTGGGGCTGAGGTAGACAGCACATTGCCATTGTTTAGAGGACAGGCCAGCACGGAGAAGCAAGCAATGGCCACCTGAGCAGGTGCAAACGGGCTAACTCACCACACGTCCAGGCATCCCAATGGCACCTTTGTCCCCCTGATGATGAAGGAGGCAGAATCAATCAGATATATGGTTGGAACCAGGCTAGCATGTGAACGATCCCATAGGCAAGCTGGGCACCTGATTAGGGCACAGCTAATCCCGTTTGCAGCTGGGAAGACACCCTGTATGATGCCCAAGCATCATGTACGTGCTCCCTATGCAGCCCCCAAACATTATTCAGCAAGTGGCCACTGCTATGACTACGTATACTTCGGCATGAGTGTTGTGGAAAGAGCACTGAAGGAGGAGTCTGGTCCCAGGCTGGGCCTCAGTTTCCCTATGCCTATTCAAGGCCCTTGCTCCCTTAGACTTCACTGTTGCATCAATTCCAGCAATGGCCAGGATGTGCCTCATCTTTATCACGCACAACTTCAAGGCCCAGAGTAGGGTGACTGGCAGGTCCCATGTGATAGAAGGTGACTCACTTTCCTCGGTCTGCCTCTGCCAGGGCTGGAGAGCAGTGCTCCTCCCCAGCCCCTGGTTTAAGAAGGCAACAACTGGAGTCCTTCTCCACTCCTCCTTCCTCACGGCCACCTCCAGTACTGACAGGAAGGACCAAGAGCCATGTGGATTCAGCTGAATCACGAGTTGCAGATGCTCCCAGGGAAATGCTTTGTTTTATAGCCAGGGGTTACATCTTCTCACGCTGGAAATCTGCTTATTAAGTTTTGCTCCTCCCCCTTTAGGCAGAAAATATTTTTTTGCAATCATATGCATGCAGACATCATAAAACCTGGGGTGGGGCCTAGAGTTTGCTATGAGCCGAAGGATGGAAAGCAATAGGGTGTGGAGATGAAGGTGGTTTGTCTGGCCTGCTGGGCAGGAGGGGACTGCATGGGCATTTCTGAGGCAACTCTGCATCTGCTAACCCCACTGAGGCACAATGCCTTGAGGGACAATGAACATCCACAACGTATGTGGGACATACCTGAGAGAAGCAACCATGGCTGAAATTAGGCTCTTAAAATTCACATATATGGTCAAGAGCAATGGTGGCTTTGAGTAAAATGTTCCACTTTTGTTAATGAATGGCAGGGTAGCAGTGCAGATGAGAAGCACCGACTCTTCCCTTAACCTCCTTGAGTGTCAGTTCTGTTGAGTGGGGAGATAAGAGCTTCTCTCTCATGGGATTGCTGGGAAGATGCCATGTGATGCTGTCTCTAAGCGTGTGGCCCCTGCCTGGCCTTTGGTTTTAAGTAAATGGCATCTGCTCATGTCAAGCCTAGCACAGCCGTGGGCAGGTAAATTTCATCAGCATGTCTGTATGCCACACCTTTTGCTTTGTGCACCAGGGGCTCACATCCACAGTCTTTCGGAGGGTTACTCCTAGGTCCCTTCACACGGAAGCATCAACAGGACCATGACCCACAGATCTGAAACTGGCTCTGCCTATGAAGGACACCAGGCCAGGGCTGGCCATCGGCTGTGGCAGCCCCATGGTCCACTCACTCTTGGGCCTTTCAATGATATTTCAGGATGCGTGTTTTGGTTTCTTTTTCATTTCTTTTTTGAAACTAATGCTCTTTGCAGTCCTGGCCATAAAATGCTTGGGTTAGGGATGGGTGTGGAATGGTCAGAGACTGGAAACTATGTGCAGCAGCCCCTGCTCTGTGAATTGTCCCCTAAATGCTTTTTAAAGGTGGATGTTGTAAGAAAAAACAAAGTCTGCCCACATTCCCCTCGGTCATCTGATGTTTCCCCTCCTTGGATTTCACGGGACCGATTCACCCGTCCTCCTCTGCACTGGCTCTTACTGGGAGAGTTTCCATTTGCAAGTCTGAACATTCTCCCATATGCATTTCATTAAGACAGCCACTGCTAGGCATGAATTCTAGAAGCTGCTGGATTCATCCAAAGATTACAGTATAATCCATGTCTAAAAGGGGAGTCATTAGGTAAGAGGGATGCACAGAAGGGTCTGGAATCTCATGGATGTGGTCTTCGTACAGGGAGACAGGGCAGACTGGTACCAGCTCCAGGCCAGGGTGCCCTTCATACCCGATCCCAGCCCCCTAACCAGCTGCAGCATCATGCCTGGGTCACTCCCCACCTGAGGTCCCACAGTACATATATCCAGTATTCAACTCATCCATGCCCCGGGCTAGACTCCACAGAGCAATGTCTTAGAAGACTCTAAAGATGGTTTTCGAGGGTGGATCACAGACCACAAGCAACAGCAGAATGGAATGGTGTGTGACAATACGGGCCTCTAACAGCTCCCCACCCGAAGCTTGAACAGACGGACAAAGTATTTTACCTTTCTGAGTCTCATGTATAAAACAGATTTACAATCATACCCATTTCGCCGAGGTGCTGAACTAGCCAAATGTGTGAGAGGGCATAAATGCAGTGCCTGGCTCCTCTTACGGTTTCAGTAAGAGATGGCTCTCTCTCTTGTCCCAGTGTCTCCATGGTTCCTTGGACACTCCTTTTGCGCTGGGGCTTTTACTAGGAGAGTTTCCATTTGCAAGTCTGAACATTCCCCCACAGTCCCCAGCATTGGGACATGGTAATTGAGGGAAAACAAAGTTTTTGAGTCCACTGTCTTACCAGCAGGCATAGGAGAACAGTAATTTGAATGCCAGCTGCTGTGCAGGGGATAGTCAGTGTGCCCATGGGCTGCCCGTCCCTGCAGCCGCCCATGGTAGGGCCATCAGTCTGGAAGTCAGGCCCAGCTTTGGAAGGGCCTGCATGCTGTGATTTGTCTGCCGGGGGCCCCAGCAGGGGTACTAAGGTCTGCAGCTGAAGATGCCCCAGTAGGGTCCTCTCTAGATATCAAAGAAGGAAGGAGCTGAAGTGGCTTCACTCTAAGCTATACAGATCAGGGATTCTGGAGAACGGCCCGTCACCCAGATTCACCTGGAGAAAAACCAGCCACCCAACCTAGCCAGTCCTCAGACTGAGAAGGAGCACGTAAAAGAGGCGCAAAGGAAAAAAGAAACAAAAATTACTTACTGGGAGTCCAGGCCTTCCAGTGGGACCCTGAAATGAAGAGTGAAGTTGACATAGGTCAGGCAGGGTATTGTAACACCTAACTGTCAAACAGTATCCCAACCAGCTGTGTGACCTCGGCAAACCACTTAGCAAGCCACTTGGGTGTCCCTTGGTGTTCTCATCTTGAAAATGGAAGAATAATCATTACCTATCTGTTAGGATCAAATGGGAGAATGTGTGTAAAGCTCGGGGCCCAGCTGCTGACATATAGCAAGTGCTAAATAAATGCAGCTACTACCATGATTATTAGAAGAGGACCCGCCAGGGATGTGCGTGGGGCTGGCCTCAGTTTCTCCCTTCAGAGACCTGCTGCCACATCTGGTTTCTCTCCTTCCAGACATCCCACTTTTCCCATAAGCCAAAGGCAGAACCAGGAGTGGGTCTTGGGGGGTTCCCTGGGAGACAAGTCCATCCTTGAAGGGCTGCTGAGAAAAGTTCAGGCAGCGCCAGGAGTACATCACCCCTTCTAAGCCTTGTTCCTGAGGACATCCCCTCAGCGGTGATGTAGTGACACCTGCCAGTTGGGGGGTCCTTGGGGAATGTGGGGCTACAGGCTTCATGGGGACAGGACTGGCCGCCATCCCGGTCATGTTGGTTTTGCTCCACTGCACTAAAATGTGAGCTCCTGAGGCAGGGACCTTCCTGTCTCATTCACTGTGTCCCCAGTGCCTCGGCAATGTGGAGCTCTCAATAGTCCTGAAGACACATTAACGAAGGAATCAATCTGCCTGCAGATGCCAGAACCTGGCAGCACTCCTGCTTTCCCAGGCCCCCACAAGGACAGCCCAGGCCCTGCGTCCCTAAAACCAGAACTTTAATGCTGAATCAATGTCCTCTTCCTTTCACTTCTAAACTGCCTGTCCCCTAACGTCACAGAGTGGGCTGAGAAGTGGGGCGGTGACCTCCCAATCCTCCGGAAAATGTTTCTTGGAATGAAATGGGGTAGAAATAAAGTAATAAATTCATTAATAAAAATTCACAAAATCATAATTTCTTCCTTCAAGTGTAATGTTTACCCAGCCACTTGAGAGGCTAAGGCAGGAGGGTGGCTTGAGGATAGGAGACCAAGACCAGCCTGGGCAACATAGCGCAACCCTGTCTCTTTAAAAAAAAAAAAGAAAAAAAAATTTTTTTAAATTAGCAGGTGTAGTCTAGCCTGTAGTCCTAGCCACGTGGGAGGCTGAGGCAGGAGGGTCACTTGAGCCCATGAGGTTGAGGCTTCAGTGAGCTATGATCACACTACCGCACCCCAGCCTGGGTGAGGGAGTGAGACCCTGCCTCTAAAAAAGAAAAAAATTAAACATTTGCAAAAAACCCTTAGGGATCATCTAGGGAAGCCTCATGCTTTCAGGAGCAAATGAATTAATATATTCCAAGTAAAAATACACATATATGTAGCACATACACACACACACTCCTTACAATACTCATATGAGGACGATACTATTTCTAATTTTACAGATGAGGGGACTGAGGCAGAGAGAGGTTAAGTAACTTGCTGAGGTCACACAGCAAAAAGTGGCAGTGCCAGGATTTGATTGCAGTTGGTCTGGCCCCAGAGCCCAGGCTCGTAATCACTGTTACACTGCCTCCATAAAAACATAGCAGTGTCTAACACACGGTAAGTGTTAGCTACTATTTCGGCAAGGATCATATTCAACCAGGCCTGGCAGCTGCCGGCAAATATTTCCCTATATTCCTTCAGAGAAAGATACATCCCTATTTCCCTTGGTCATCTGTTTTCAGTCTCACAGTTCCCAGCATTAAGAAATTCTCCCTTAAATAGAATCCAGGGATGGCCAGTGGATGTCAGCTTAAGCACTGACGCCAATGGATTGGGAGTGATTGACTAATGGGTTATGTTAAAAAGCCTCCTAATTGATTAGCAATGTCTGCCAGGGGCATGACGGGTAGGGCAGTGGTGGCTGAAAATTTGCTTCCACCTAAATGGTTTCTGCTGCAGCTTTAATCCATCCTGCACGGTCGTGTTCTACAGGCACTGGCTGAGCTTGTGCCCACAGGAACCTGGGTCTTCCTGTTGGAGGATAGAGCCAGGCCCCAGGATACACCCAGAGGGCAGCAGACAGGCATCTCAGACCCTGTCTCTCTGATCACCAGCATTCTTCTTTTGCTGGAACCAGAGAGAACACGGCCGAGGAGGTGATTCTTGCCCTGGCCAGTTTCCCATTTCTTCCTCCTCCTGCCTTGTGGTTTCAGCCAGCACTGGGCAAAGGTAAAGAGCTTCTCTTCTGCGCTGGGCTCAGAATGTGCGGAAAGCTACCTGGGCCTTTATCCTTCACTCTGTGGGCAGAGACTGAGACTCATTCCCTCCACCTCATGGGCTCCTTCAGCACAGACCCAAAGGGGTCTGTGAACAGTCCCTGGGTCAGGCCAGCACAAGGTCTCAGAATTCGAAATTCCTATTGAGAGGACCTTCAAGTCAGGCAGGGACTCAGAGCTGCCCTGGCCCTGAGGGTTAGGTGTGTGCAGTAGGTCCCGAGATAGGGTGGGAGCAGTTGCGGGCTCTTGTGGCTTCCTTGGAATAAGGCAGGGAAAACCAGCCCATTTCCAACAGGTGAAAGCTCTCTATGGCAGACTTTATTTTGGAAGATGGATAATAGGAATTAAGATCGGACGCCCTAAACATGCCATAATAAATCATCCCTCCTTTCAAGCAATGACATGACAGGCCTTGCCTCACTGTGACATGTCTGGGGGCATGGGATCCTCAGTGTGGTTGCAAGGGCCTTTGGGGGACAAATGGAGTACTCAATAATGGCCTTTACTAAAAGCTAGGCAGGTGGCTCCCACAGGTACAGATCAAGAGGAAAACCACTATGGAAATAACTTCTCCAAGGGAGGGATGATGATAGGGTTGAATTCAGCAACCTTGAGAAAGATCTGATGTGAGGGCTGGGCCCTTTCAACTCGTATCTCCAGCTCCCCCAGCGCCCTCTGGTCTTTTGTTGGGATATGAAAGAGAGGTGCTCCTGTTCTCTGGATCCATTACTTCAGGGAGGCAGTCTCCTTGGGCTCTTCTCAGGTTCTCTGGAAGGCTCCAGTCCCCGCCCCACCCTGGGCTTCCAAGCGGCGCGCTGCCTGTAATTACGTGCTGGCTCCCAGTCTAGCCGGCTGACCCGCTCTCTCTTACATAACCATGGCCACCGCCACCACCTGCCCAAAGTGGCTTTGCCAGAATGGAGCTGCCCACTCAGGGATGTGGACATGAGTCCTCTGGAGCAGACCACACTTGGAGCCAGCTCGGTGACCTGTTTTCTGAGACCTTTCAAGGAGCAGAACTGAGAAGAGATGACCTCTTTTCTTCTAATACCTGGTGTTTTTTTTTTTTTTTTGTCTTTTTTTTTTTTTTTGACTGCAATTGTTTCTTTGGCGCACAAAGGAACTGAGCTAATTAGAGGGAAAGCCACCCTTTCAGATTGAAATTTGGAGCCTGCTTTGCCCTGGGGGCAGCCACTGTCTTGCCCTGGAGGGGTGCAGAGGTGGGTGAAAAGCAAAATGGTGGCCTCCTCCTCCCCAAGAAGCATTCTGGAGGGACCCCGCAGGAACCCACATAGGGCCCCCCAAGACAGCAGGGGCCCAGCTTTCAGTGCCCATACCCAGAACCCCGTTACCAGCAGGTGACACAGGCCTTTCAGATGCATGAGAACCACGGCTTGAGTACTTACAGGAGGTCCTGAAAGAGAGGGAAAAATACCTTGGTCAGTGTCATTGCTGTAGGGACAGAGGGGAGGCTGTCTGGGAAGCGGTGTCCAAGAATTCTTCAGCGGAGGGGTTGCCATCGGGTCCTCGAAGACTGTCTTTTCCAGGCCCACTTTCACCAATACAATCTCTTCCCTCTTTATTTCATCTCCATACTTTCATAATCGGATGAGAAATGCAGAGGTCGGCGCCCCAGGCTCAACCCTGCTGGGGACCTGCCGGTGACCCTTCTGCCTCAGCTTCCTACCCTACAAAATGGGCTCTTCAGGACCCGCCTGAACTTGTGTACAAGGCTGCTTTGCAGAACATGGGATGGTGGGCACTGAAGCACACTGAGAAAGGTGGAAATAACAGACCCTGCAAAGATGAGGGATGTTAGCACGCCCTGTGTGTACTGTGCCCTGCCAGGGAGGGGCAGCAGGCAGGCAGGGGCGGGCGCGGCTGCTCACTGTGGGTGCACCCTGACTGAGGCCCATCGGCCCAGCCTGGTTTCTGTTTAACAGTGAGTTAGGCACGCCACCCCTCCAGGGTCTGCCACCCACAGCCTCTTTCTCAAAGCCCCCTCTGGGGCTCCGGCCCCACCCTCCTCCATGCCTCTCTGTTCGTTTCTCTTCCTGGTATCCACTCCCTGCCTCCCTCCCACGGCCGCAGCAGCAGACCTATCTCATTACTGGCAACAGCCAAGAATGACAAATTCAAGTGTTCCGAGAGGGAGAAAAAAGGAGTAGGGGTGAGGAGGAGGAGGGAAGGTTTAGAAAAGCAGCCCCAGAAAGATAGGGAAGGAAAGGCACTTCTGCGGAACATGAGCCACGAAACCCCCACGGCCCGCCCGCCCCAGTGATTCCCAGCTGAGCCTGGTGCGTCTGCCCGGCCCCTAGTGCCCTGGCCACGTTAACTCAGCTGCAACTCCTGTTGCTTCTTTTATGCTCGGCCAATAAAGGCTCCTATGTTTCCCTGCGCTCCTCCCGTTCCCAGAGCCGGCTTCCTTCTCTCCTCCTTCATCTGTCCGTTCCCTGCCCTGGTCACCATCCAGGAAGACACAGCCTCTTTCATGCTGGCCTCTGTCAAGCCATCATGTTAAGGGTGAACAAAATGTTTTAAATTAAAAGCAACAGAAAAAGTCAAGAGGTGTAGTGCCTGGGTGAGCAAGCCCCAGGCCCCAGGCTTGCATGCAGGGCCCAGAACACGTGGGAGGGAGCACCGGGCAGGGGGAGCATCTGGGACCCATTAGGCTGAGGGGCAGAGGAATGTCACCCAGAATCTGAAAATATCTCAGAGTGCAGCCTGCCAGAGGGGCCAGCCCAGCTGGGGAGTCTGTGCTTCCCAGAGGGGGGAGGTGTCCCCTGCATGAGAAGCAGGCTGGTGACAAATTCAGCCTGTGGCAATTTTGGGATGGTTCAGCCACATGGAAAGCAGATGACTTGCGCCTGCCAGGCCTGATGGGGCCCTGGCTCCCACTGTGGCAGGCTCTGATGAGGCCCCCAGTTACCCAGGCTGGACCTCTGAGGGCAGCCCTGCCTGTTGTTCGCAGTCTCGGCTGCATAGGTGTCACCAGATACAGCCAGGTAGCTGGCACAAGACTCGACACTCAGCCCGGTGGCCGAAGAGCACTTTGCTGGGTCCACCCCTGGGGGATATTAATTCCACTGAAGATTTTGAGGGCTTTTATATTACTACCACCATCGTCACTGCACACACCTTTATGGGCCTTATTAGGTGCCAGGCACAATTCGAGGTGTTTTCCATTACGCAGTAGGTTCTATCATTCCCGCCTTGCAGATGAGGAAACTGAGACAGGGGAAGTTTAAGCAACTCCCCAGGGCCATGCAGCTAGTGAATGGGAGTGCCCTAGACTCTTCTCTACAGTGCCTCTCTCTCCGTCTCTCGCTCAGAAAGCAACCTACCCCTGACCCCGCAGTTGTCTGCAGACCCAGTCCTCTCCAGTCTTTCCCCTGGGATGCCTGTCATGGTCAGTCTCCAGCCCCCTTCTCTGACTCAACCCTCTCATCTGTCTTTTACAGGTGCCTTTGTCTTACGCAAGGGAATTTGGCTCTGCCAAGCTCTTCCAGGCTGCCACTCCCCATCCCTGTCCCTTACAGGGACTTCAGAAGCAGGAAAATCCTCTTTGTGAGCTAATGCTGTGCCATAGGAAGGGAGAGAGATATAGGGGTGCTATAAAAGAAGGCTTTCCCCTGTTAAGGATGGTCCTCATGGGTCCCCCTGGAAAACCTTTGGGTGCCTTGGAAAGCCCAGCTGCCATCCTGCCCCTGCCAACTTTCATTTGACAGGCCTGTATTGGGACAGCCCTGGGATTCCAAGCAGATGCTTCCCCTGATGCTGTGTTCAATGCTTGGCAGCTCTAAGATGCTGGGGAGCTGATGGCTTTGCAAAATCTAGCAGTGCCTGGATGTCACTTGTTGCTCTCCCATGTGGGCCACTTGGCTGTGCCCATCACTCTGGCCAGGCACCAAAGGATGCAGTCACCCCAAAGCATTACCAAGTCTGCACAGTACAGATGGAGAAAGAGAGGCCCAGGGAGATTCATGACCATGCAGGGCCACTTTGTGGGCAGGTGATGGGGGTGGGACCAGCACACAGTCTCCTGACTCCCATCCTGGTGTCTTCCTAACAGCACGCCGTATCTCATGACCTGCGCAGTTGATCCCGCCAAGGTACAGCCCACACTACCACATCTTGAGAGAGGAGGAAGACACCTGGACTCCACCCACGCACCTGCTGCTTCCTCAGGAGGACACCTGTTTCTTGCAGCAGGGAGACTATGAAGATTGTCCCAGCACCCTCAGGTGGCGCAAGCAGGGCTGTCAGGGGAGGGTCACAGCAGCCATCCAGGGTGGGGACATTCTGCCCGAGACCTCCCTGCTGATGTCTGTCACCACCGCCTCAGCTTCCTGCTAAGGCCACTACTGTTCTCCCCTGGGGTTTGACCCACCTCCTCCAAGCAAGGCAGCCATGCTCCCCCAAAATGGACACATAGAGATGGACCCTTATGAAGAATTCTGGGGTAGCATTGTGGGTTGGGACTTTTTTTCCAACCACTTTTTATATGTTCATTCATTCGACACACTTAACAATGCCTACTGTGGGTGAGTCACTGTGCTGCGCTGTAGCTCTCTAAAGATGAATTGAGTATAGTCATTGTCCTCTGAGGAAGGAAAACTTCATTATTTAAGCACTTATTATCTACCAGGCCTGATGCAAAGCTCTGATGATAAGAGATGAATAATTCATTTCCCTCTGCTGAGAAGGCAACAGTTTCCTATGTTAGAAAGCTGGAGGAATTCCAGAGATGAGAACTAAAACAAACATGAGGGTTTAAGGGAGAGAGCTTTGCTGTAGGAGGATTCATTTCTTCATTCCTTCATTAATTCAATCGGCATCATTTACTAAGTGTCCATTATGCGGCAGACATAGGACAGAGTGTTAAGTATGGTAACTATCACACCGCACTTCATCTTTACAACAACCTTGTGAGGTTGGCATTATCACCCCTTCCATAGACTTGGAACCTGAGGCTTAGAGGTTAAGCAATCTGCCTAAGGTGGTCACTTTGCTCTTAAGTGATGCCATCTGATTCTTAAAGTTTTTAAACTTTAATTATTATTTTTTGAGATAGGATCTCACTCTGTTGCCCAGGCTGGAGTACAGTGGTGCAATCACAGCTCACTGCAGCCTTAACCTCCCTGGGCTCAGGCAATCTTCCCATCTCAGCCTCCCGAGTAGCTGAGACCACACAGCACGCCTGGCTAATTTCCGCATTTTTTATAAGGATGGAGTTTTGCTATGTTGCCCAGGCTGGTCTCGAACTCCTGAGCTCAAGCTATCTGCCTGCCTCGGCCTCCCAAAATGCTGGGACTACACGCATGAGTCACGCGCCCAGCATAATTTTATTGTTTAGCTTTTATTTCCGTACAGTAGAGCCTGGATTTGAACCTGGTCTCTCTTGCTCCACAGCCTGTGTTCTCCTGGCTGGAGATCACGAAGTTCTCAAGGGTGGAAGGGTCAGCGGGGCCCTCAGCCCTTTCTAAAGTGGGCAGGTATGTCCCCTCCCCATCATCCCTGGACTTGGTCCCACCCAGTCGCTGGACCCAGTCCTGGTCCTGAACAGGGGGCGTCAAGAGTGGAAGGGTGCTCCCAAGTTCAGCATCATCTGAACCATCTTCTGACCCTGCTGTGACTCTGGGCTCCCAGCAGCTGGGGTCCTAGCACCCACTCACACCACCTGGTGCCTGCTTCCCGGCTGCCTGTAGCCGACCACCTGCCCCCAGTTCTGCAACGTGCCCAACCCACCCATCTCTGCCAAGACAGGTGTTCTGCCTCATGGGCTCCCCTCAGACCTCGAGTGACTAGTGATATTGGATACACTCTGCCTGCTGGAGCAGAGGTTCTCAGCTTGGGGGGGATTTGGCTCTCCAGGGAATAGTTGACAATGTCTGGAGACATTTTTGATTTCATAACTGGGAGCCTTCTACTGGTATCTAGTGGGTACAGGCCAGGGATGCTGCTAAAAAGACAGTGCACAGAGCCTCCTACCACAGACCCATCTGGTCCCACATGTAAATAGTGTTGAGGATGAGAAACGCTGTGCTGGACTAATGGCACCAGACCTGCCTCGGGGCTCTCCCTGTGCCTCAGTCCCTATGACGCACGCCGTCACCCATGCCCCAGTCCTCGCCGACCTATGGTTTGCCAACTCTTGGGATCTCATTCTTCTAGTTTGGCCTGTTCCACCTCCATCCAAGACCTCATCAGGACAAATAGTAATTTGTGTGTTACTCATCTATTGAGCATGTACTCTGTGCCTGACACTATGCTGAGACCCTTATGTACCTTATTTCACTCGGTCTGCCCAACAACCCGGTGAAGAAGTTATGATGGTTATTTTTCCCACTCTACAGATGGAAGAGCTGAGGCCCAGGCAGTTTACGACGTATTCAAGGTTGCGAAACACATGCG